GCTCCAACGCTAACATTTCTGTTATTAGACTCTAAACCGAACCCCAAAAACTGGTGGTCCACATGTTCTTGCCTGTAGCCTCCATTGTTGCCAAAACCGATAGTGCTACTCTTGCATTGTGCAATCATTACTAGTTTTTCACATCACTTCCTGTGTGTACTCTCATTGGTCGATTGCAGGCCGGAGTCGTAGATTTCCTGACAGCACTTGAAGACTGTTGGAGGCTGGATTTGGTCGTGAGTGCAATAAGCTGGTTTTTGTTACTACTCTTTTCACCATAAAAAATGTGTGCACAACAGGCGAAAAGAGAAGTGTGAACCTGACTTTAGAGGTAAAATAAATAAACAAAAGTAAAACATTAGGAGTAGTCAGTAAAATTAAAAAAATGGTACACAAATGCAGTCCATTATCCTTTATATCATAACCAGAAGATTTTAAAGCGACTATAATGAGTTTGAAATGTTTATACTTGTAATTGCACCCCTCAGGCCAAACGTGTAACTGCAGCATCAACAGGAAACTCCTGCATGAGGCGTGCATGCTGTACGTGCACACTCCTGAACAAAAACAACAGCCGAGCCAGTCCTGGACCGGTGCAATTTACAGGTTTATACTGTCCTACACAATTCTAATAAATTAGGCAAACAATGTACTCAAATGTAGACATGCTAGACAAGCAGCCTGGCTTGCCTTGATAGCATCACCCCTTTTCCACCTATTACTATTATATTAGTTAAAATGATTCATTAGTATGATTAAAACGGCCCAATTTGCTTTGATGTGTAAAATAAATTCTAACGGTATAAATAAAGTGATATTGAGGCAGATTTGGTGTGGTGATCCAAACCGTTCTGTTATAGGACGTAGCTCAGACCTGCTCTCCTTGTTTCTCACAGACTATGTCACGTTTGTGCATTACCAGCATTTTCTTGAACAGCAACTTTTTACCTTTCTCAACTTCTCTGCTGTGTTTTCTCTCCACCTAGATTGTGATAACAGCTCACACCGGTGCACTGAGATGAGCCACAGAGCAGTGTGTGAATGAGACAGTAGATCAAACTCCCGCTGACTTTATTTACCAAATGCAGGAAGAGCCAAAGTGCTTGATGGCTGCGGAGAATGCAGGTTGACGACTGCGCCGCCTCTAGTAGCGGCGTGAATCTGCAGCAGCAGAAGTAGCAGGCCTAAATCAGCGGTTTCCAGCTCTGCAGCTGTAGCGTTGTTGTCGGCCCGTCTGAGAAAGGTTTATGTCCTCGTGCACATGCACAGATTATCATTCTCTTTCCTTGCTCCCGGAAGAACAGTTCGGAGCACAAATTAAAGTTAAAGTCCCATTAGTTGTCACACACACTGGTGTGTGTGCGAAATTTGTTCTTCGCATTTGACCCATCCCCTGGGGGAGCGGTGAGCTGCAGACACAGCCGCACTCAGGAACTATTTGGTGGTTTAACCCCCCAATCCAACCCCGTAATGCTTAGTGTCAAGCAGGGAGGCATTGGGCCCCATTTTTTCTAAGTCTTCGGTATGACCCGACCAGGAATTGAACCCTGATCTCCCAGTCTCAGGGCGGACACTAGGCCACTGAGCTGGTCTCAAATGGTTTCTTTGTTGCTAATCTGAGAGGAATATCTACAAGAAAGTTCAACAGAAAGTAGCAACGGGTCCTCAGAAATGTTGCTAAGTTTGTCACTAGGTGCTAGGAACAGCAACAAATTCACTAAAGCCCCCTTCAGACAGGCTATGAAAAAAGTAAATGTTCCGGAATCTGTCTGTAAGACCTTTCTGTCTGAATACAAACATCCGGATAACGTGTTCCGGAATTTAACCGGACGAAGCCCCTAGTAACAGGTCCGGACTTGTTACGGACAGGGTGTCTGCTTCAGACTGGTGAGGTAAAGTTCCGGACAAGGGGGAGGGGGAGGAGGAGGGGACCGGGGGACGCTGTGCACACCTAGATAGCTCGCTGCTGTAGCATGCGGCGAACCACGGCAGCTCGCCTCCTACGGTACCGCCTAGACGCGCGACGGAGCGCTTCACACCGCTTCAGTGATTCCTTTAACCACTGAGCTTCATCATCCAGGTCTCTTATGCGTCTTCGTGTGCGCAGAATTATGCTTAAGCGCCTCGTGATTTTTATCTTGAGAGGCGCTATAGAAATTATATTTTCTTCTTCTTCTTCTTAACATGGGTCCGATTCCCCCCCCCCCGGCCGCCGTCAGACATCTGGAACTTTTCCCTGCTGTGTGAACGCAGCCGAAAGGACAAGTTCCGGTACAAAAGTGGTGTGTCTGAAAACACAGTTCCGGTTAAAAACCGGATTGAATTGTCCACACATGTTCCAGAATATCTGTCTGAAAAGGGCTTGAGTTGGCAACATTGCCTCACAGTGAACTCGTTGCTGCTTAGCAAACGCTACGGGCTACGCCTGAGCGTGAACGCACATGACGTCATCACGCATTATGCTGCCTCTGGAAGGGACTGGGGAAGCAGGCTTGGTCGACCCGAACATGCTCTTTTTTTGTGATTTTACTAGCCTGGCAAGCAGGAGAGTGTATGAGGAAGAAATTTTAAACTTCTATACGTGTAATGGTTGTTAAACTTTACTAAACAAAAAAAGAGAATCACACGTGTGATGTTTTTGTAAAACCAGCCTCTGGGTTTAACCAAATCCTCCTTTGCAAGATGTGCCGAGAAAAAGAGTTTGCATCCTGACACAGCCAATAAACTCTGTAAATAAGGTTAAAAACACCCATCTCTCTCTCTCACACACACACACACACACTGTGGTCAGCCCATGTAGCTGCAGCAGAGACAGACACACACACCCAAACACACACATATGAATGTTCTAAATGTGGCTTTAAACAAACCACATCCCTTGCTAGCTCCTAGTGTCCTGAGTGACCTCGCCATCCCGGTTTTAACTGCACTCCAGGCTTGTTGCTCCCGGCCATGCAGGAAAACACACACACACACAAACACACACGAGCAGCACTTCTACACACGTAACCAGGTCAGAAAAAGAACAAATCCTTCCTGTTATGCAACATCAAGGCTCAAGCCCAGCCTCTCAAACATGGGAGGGTCTGAGAGGTCGGCTTACGCTGAAATGAGGAAGTCTTTTGTTGTTTTAGTCCAACAGAAGACGTTACAGCACAGGAAACTCTATTTCGTACCCATCTTTGGACACTAATTGTAACAAACCCAAGCAGGAATAACTGGGGAACTGCTTTGTTCTTTGGAGGCCAATAAAAACCTGAAGTGTAAAAAGTGGAGCGGTGGGTGTAACCCGTTGCACAATGCCTGCCGACGTTGGAGCAGCTTGTCTTCTGACATTATCTACTGGATGGAACGGTCTAGTAAGCATGCAGTCATGTGGTAGAAAACCATCTTGGACATCCTAAACTTAGCGAGCCAGCGTTACCGCAGTAAATCACAAGCAGCACATTTCAAAATAGGAAACATCCGATGATAAATGTGTTGCACTTTCTCCGGTCTGAAAGTTTGTTTTCATTAAAGCAGGCTCCTGACATATCCTGCATCGTACCATGAGCTAATGAGCTTACAGCTTAGTAACGCATTTGTTCTCCTGTTTAACCCTTTATGACACAAACATTTGAGTTCCTCTGGATTTAGAAGACGAGTGTTAGATGTTGGGACATGATGACAGAATCCAAACAGCATCAAAAACATGTGCCCATGCAGGAAGGAATAACTGGAATATGCAGCAGACAAAGAGCCAAAAGTGAAATGAATGTTGGGAAACTCCCAACCAAAGTGGGCAGGTTAATTCAGTCCATTTGATGTTACATAAGCAGTGGCACAGCCGGAACACATGAGACTGAGGCAAGACGTCGCTAAGCCTTGTGGGAAACACACACACCAACGTCCACCAGCCGTGGGAATGAGTCACATCACAGATTATGAAGACAAATCGCACGGCATTTCACATCATATCTGATCTTTCTAAAATTATTCTGCTCTGTAAATCTCATTGGACATGTTGTGCACCATGACTCCAGCTTATTCACTTCCAACAGACATGTTAGATGTGACCACTAATCAAAATCTAAGAGATGGAACTTGCGTCATCTCCTCGGTGACTTAATAGATACAACAGCTAATCAACTATCAAATCAACAGCTGTCATGTGACCGTTACTGATTCAGGACTTATTCTCAGCTGGATATGGTGTGTTCCCGTTCACAATTAGGGCTGCAACAACGAATCGATAAAATCAATAAAAATCGATTATTAAAAATGTTGACAATGAATTGCGTCATCGATTCATTGTGTCGCACAACTCTTCCAGTTGCTTTCATGTGGCCTAATGTGAGTCTATTTAAAATGTTCAGTTGTTGGTGTTGTTTTGGAAATGGAATCATTGGAACGATCAGCAGCATTTCTGGCTTCATTTCTGGTTTTTCATTTTTTGAAAAATGAGGCAGAAAGAGGTGTTGTCTGGCGAACCGCATGGTAAACATGGAAGGGGCTGGGTGGAGTCAACACTTCCTTACTTGCTATGCATGTTGATATGCTTACATTTTTGCATTGCAATGCAACGTATCTGAAGCTGTAAGACATTTTATGTGATAGCATGCTGTTTTTCTGCTATTGAACTGTTTTCCAATAACGGTGTGTTTAATAAAGTGAAGGAAGGAGAGGAAAAACGTTTCTCTAGCAGTTTTTAAAAATTTCCCCACGTAATCCGATTAATCGATTAATCGTGTCGAGACCCCATCCGATTCATCGATTATCCAAATAATAGTTTGTTGCAGCCCTATTCACAGTGTTTTAAAACTTTACACAAGCATTCAGTTTTAAGATGAGGATCCATGCAAACATTTAGTAAAACTTTTACATCCAACAACCATTTGCTTAAGGCCTGAAAAAGATTTGACTGTGACCATGAACATGCAGATAAAACTGTTAAACGGTGTCCCGTGCCGTCCAACTGAACGATAAACAACCCAGAGTGAACTAAAGGACAAGCGCCTGACCTGTAGTATCGGGACTGTAGATATGTGGAGCAGACAGCCTTGGAGACGTGGCTGGCTGAGCCAAAGTCAATGACTTTGACTCTGTAGGGCTGTCTGGATGGGTCCACCAGCATGATGTTTTCAGGCTTCAGATCTGCATGAATCAAACCTAGATCCTTCAGCTTCTTTAGGGCAGTTGCCACCTGTAGTGGGACAAAAGCAAAGTGACCACTTAGTCTAGACCATGCATACATCTACATAATCCTGTTATTGTTCAACTCTGCAAGCGAAAGTCAGTTCACCTGCTGCAGAATCGGCCTGATGATTTTGAGCGGCAGTGGGCTGAACTTGTTCTGTTTAAGGAAGTCATAGAGGTTCTGTTCCAGCATCTCAAACACCAAACAGGTGTGGCTGCGGTGCTGGAAACACTCCAGCGCACGCACCACATTGTGCTCTTCTGCGTTCTCGCTGCTCAACCGGGCCAAGATCTCAACCTGAAAACCCAGAAATGGTTGTCTTGTATAACATAGATCAGAATAATTCAGATGGAAATAGAGAAAACAATATTTTATTTAGAGATTCTCACAAAACATCAAATTAAATTAAAAAAAAACAATGAAAGTATAAAAAAAATTTCAAAAATGATTACAAATATGTTTTAAATGTACTGGTGTGATCTTTTCCCCCCTCATGTTTATAATGAGAAAAAATAAAATAAAAATTGTGATTAAAAAAAATAAATCATGTAAGGAAAGGAAAGGAAGAGAGAAAATGAGCTGCTTTTTAAAGGAGACCCTGAGTCCACTGATCTCAGGCTCAGGGGGAGAGAGGTCCAGAGTTTGGGGGCCACAGCAGCAGATGATCTGTCACCTTTGACCTTTAGCCTGGTGCTGCACAACCAGTAGACTTTGATCACTGGACCTCAGGGACCTGCTGCGGGTGTAGGGACTAAGAAGATCACCAATGTAAGATGGTGCTTGTCCATGTAAGGCCCTATAGACCAGAACCAGGATCTTGGAATGAACCCTGTTAGATGGCAGCCAGTGAAGCTGGAGGAGAAGCGGGGTGATGTGGGTGTGTTTGGAGGACATGGTCAGAAGCCGAGCACAGGCTAATCTAGATTACATTGAAACATCACATCATCCATGAATTCTTACCTCTATCTGTCCTTGGCGGGCATAGGACGGGTGGTTCTTCAGTATTTTGACAGCCACCGACTCACTGGTTCCCCTCTTCCAGCATTTCACCACCTGACCAAAAGTGCCACGACCCAGAAACTCCAAGACCTCGTAGCTGTTTTTCAGCGAGTACAGAACTTCATGCTGAACCAGCTGATAATCACCGTCTGCTGATCCACTCCTGCTCAGCGTAGCGCCTGCCACAACCTCAGAACTGTTGTTGGGCCTGATTTCAGTCCCATCAACCCCGGTTCCAAGGCCTGCCACTGCATCCACCCTGTTGTGTTGAGAAGGCAGTGTCCCTCCACCACCTACTCGAACAGTGTCTCCATTGTTCCCAGTGCTGGTCTGCAACATGGCCACTGGGGGAGGAAGAGAGGGTAAAGCAGATACCTCCTCCACTATCTGCATGGTTCTGAAGCAACTGATTTCCTGCGGTTGTTCTCCACCTTCACTTGTCTTCTGTTCACATCTCTGAGTGGCACCTGGGTCAACAACGTTGACGTACGCTCCTCTTTCGTGCGCTCCACCGCTTCTAGCCTCTCCCTCCTCTGTTCTTACACAAGCTTTATTCACAAGTACGCAGTCCAAGCCTGCACCTTCTCTCTGAAGATTCTCTTCCTGTGGGACCCTGCTCTGCTCAACAGACTGCTGATATGGGATCCCCACCGGACCTTCTCCTAGGCGCTCCCAGCTGTCTGTTCCCTGTATTCCTGCAGCTTGCAAAGCCCACTGATCAGTTTCTGCAAGCTGTTGTTCCCTGGGCAGTCTTCCAAGTTCAGCACCAGAAGAAGATGGGGCAACGTTGTTGGGATAAGCAATGCCGTAGTTGACTCCGATCACATAGGTCTTGGGCAGGGGTCGATGCTCAAAGGCTCTGCTGGTGTTATAACTGCGGTGGACTTCACCCGTGTGTCTGCTGGTACCACTGCTGCTGGTTCCTAAGGCACTTGTTTGAGCTGAGTGCAGGTGTGATGGATAAACCAAAACTTGCGAGGCCATACCTTTAAAACACACACAAACAAAGACTTCAAAAGGGCATATTGGGTGAAACTGTTACCAAGTTAGAATGGTTTTAAATGCGTTAATTCTAGGCATGCGTATTGGTGAAATTCTGGCAATACGATTCGTGTCACGATTAGCGATGGGTACCGAATTTGGTACTTTTTAAAGGTACCGACCGAATTCCATAGTACCGACTGAGCACCGATTCACGTCATTTGAAACGGTGCCTCGTTTCGGTACCCGTCCTTCATAACGAGAACTTGCCTAGACAGCTACGCATGCGCAAGCGCGTTATGTCGTCGGTCGCTGAGAGCCAGTTGTAAACAGAGCAGCATGGTAGAAAGAACGCACGCTAAAGCTTGGGTCCACTTCACTAAATGTGATGGGTAACTGGGTGATGATGAAACCAGTGACAACGATCCAAGTGTGAGGCATCATCGTTTTAATCTGCTCCAGCAGCTAAATAAACTGTTTAAGATAACGTTAGCTTGATATGATAGCTTCCATTGCCACCATTGTTATCAGCTAATGGTGCGTTCGCTTTCTCCTCGGAAATTCTAACTTCCCAGTAGGAAAAATCAAAGAAAAAGGACGGCAAAAGGAATGAAGATACACAGTAAATTTAGATCACAGTAAAGATGTTTGCTTCAGTTTGTCAGCTTATAAAACTACAAGGACGATGTTAAAATACAAACAGTTGTATGTTACTTATCGTGATATTTATCAAATATGGCTATATACTGAGAAAAATATATTTTATTATAAAAGAGAATTAAAATATTAAACACTCAAAAGTATCTAAAATTGATACCGTTAAGTACCGGTATCGATTCCTAGGTACCGGGAATTAGTACCGAGTCGATTTAAATGTTAAAGGTACCCATCCCTAGTCACGATACAGGGGAGACGATACAATGTATCACGGTATATTGTGATATATTCAGCCAGATGATATTATATTGACTGAATTTATTGTAGGAAAATTCAGTCCAAACGATACATAACATGTTTAAATGAGGCATCTGAACCATAATAAGAGGGATTTACATTTCAACGGTGGAAAGTGTTTTGGGTCATTTAAAACACAATAACTGCAAACTATTTACAGATATTGAAAGTTAAGCTTGTCCTGAAAACAAGATAAAAGGTTTGTGCAGATAGGACCTTTTTGACAAATGTATTAAAAGATAAATACAAACATGGCCAGGTAGACTAGAACAATGGCAGCAGTAAGAGGGTTAATATCAAATTTGAATGAACCTGAAGGTTGTTCCCAAGTCAGGAGGGAAGTTTCATTTTAATGTAGTCATAAAGTGATAAAAGCAAAAGTAAATGTCAGTCTTTGTGTCATATTGAAAAAGGGAACCTATCAGCTGTAATGGGAGATGGGGGAAGCACTGTATAGTTTGTTCCTGCACACTACACTGAAGGGTCAGTTTCACACAGAGAAAAACCACACAGCAAACACCACCCTAGAGAGGAAAACGATACGAGGAGAGTGATGAGTGATCGGTGTACCTCAACAGCCCTTCACAAATACATCCATATCATTACACTGACTCATCCTTGTTTAGCTTGTAGTCTGATCAATGCAACAGCAGATTATGATGTAACCTTGTTTTTTTCTACTGAATCTAATTAATTATTACATTTCAGATTCTGAACTGCACCAACATTTAGCTGCCCCGCACATCTCAATACAAGGCCTTGTTTTGTTTACATACATTCCAGGTGAATTTTCATGAAATCTGTTGTTTTCTGTATGAATTTCTGCGCAGTAAGCACTTAATATTCCACAGAGGGTTTTTTTTAGGTTTTATGTAATCTGTTCATTTCCACTGGACAATAGGGATGTAAGAAAATGTTGATTATGGCAATATATCGTGATATTTTCCCCAGCGATATTATATCGATTTTCAAAAGCTGTGTATCGAAAATATCGATATCGCAATATACCGTGATACTTTTTCTTGCAAAAATGTCTCGATATTCAAAATTTGTGTATCTCATAATAAATTTAGTCTAAAAAAATGGCCAATATCGTCTGACTGAAAGTATTGCAATATATCGTGATATATTGTATCGTCTCCCCTGTATCGTAATACGTATTGTATCACCAGAATTTCACCAATGCACATCCCTACTGGACAACTTCAAACAGCTGTTCTGATTAACTCACAACATAAGATCAATCAGTCAATCAGATATTGTATTGAGGCTGAAGGTGAGTGTGTCTGGTCAGGTTTAATGGTAACTTATATCCAATATAGTTTATTTACAAGTTACAACTGTGACCTCATTGTTCAACAAGCTTTAATGGAATAAAAATTTTGTTTTATGCATTTATGACCCTTCTTTTTATTTATATTCCCTTTAAGGAACATAGGAATACCTTAAATGAAAACACTGACGTTTACCTGTTGATTTTTTTATATTTTTGTAAATGGGAATTCAGTGCTGTTTGAAACTCAACAACTAAAAACATGTCAATAAAAAAGTAAAAATTTTGAACACTTCATTTTCCTAGGACAAATAAAACGTGATATTTTTTCCTGAGCACATTCCGCTCATTGCTGAAGGTCTTTCCACCATGATAAGCTGAAAACAGGCAGAAGTCCAACTTGTGACTTCCTGAAAGTGTCCAAACAGACCCATACAATGTCCAATACGGGCTAAAGACTCCGGGAACTGCAATTTCCAGAATTGTCCAGATGTCACAAGCCCGTCATAAGAGATGATCTCTTTAAGAAACAAAACGGTGTGACAATGACGGTGTTCTGCAAAATGGTAGACTCCCAAAGTATTATGGCTTGCGCGCACACAGGCTCAGACAGGCAGAGAGGTGTGCCTCAGAGTAAACAATTCAAGCGACACACCTCGGTTCTTCTCACCGATGACAGTTTAAACCACAGCTGCTTAGTATAAATGCAGAAATTAAACTTTGACCAACAGAGTAAAAGTTTCTGTCCCAACTCTCATAGCAAACTGGAGGCTATAATTATAGTTCTAGCAGCAACACTTTCAACAAACATAATTACATCCCTCTTCTGATCAGCTAAGAGCAAGTTGTGCAGTCAGATGTCACTTCTCTCTGTCACCACCCACAACTGAAAGTCAGGCAAACGCTGATAATAACTCCAACTATGCAACTAGGAAAGAATAACTGACATCGCAGCAAGAGATTCACCAACATTGGATTGGCGTGGCGTAAATGTCATCCTTGCTACTCTTGCCATCAGCCTGAGGAACACTTGCACGGTCTCAGCTGTTATACCTTCTGCCAAAGCATGTAGCCTGATATCACACAGGACTACAAGCTCCAAGCCTGAAATAGAGCTATATCACGGAGGACAGACACACGCAAATAGAGGTGTATCTGTGTGTGTTTGCATGATCCTCAGACATTTTTATATTATAATTCGATAACCACATAGCTTGCTAACGATCAGTTAAGGTGACAGTTTACATTTGGGAAGATAAGGGAAGGGTGGAGTGAGTGTTTGTGTGTGTGTGTGTGTACGTGCTAGTCTGGGGGATGGGCAACCTCACAGGACACCTGTTGAAACTTCTGTAGTGGTAATTAACTGGTGTATTACAGTTAGTAGGACTTTTAGCACATTTTACGTATTCTGTAGAAAGCGTGAGCAACACTGTAATTTCACTTTGACGTTTTACAACATACAAAGGAAAAGAAAAGTTCGAATAATAACCCAAGCAACTGCGAGCTCGTCTGAAACGTACTAAAATAAGATCAATGGTCTACAGTTAACTAAAAGTGATTAGCTTCTGGTGCTAACACCTGCCTCTCAAAAATTAAAGTTAGCAAACAAGCTAGCTCTAAACGCAACCCTACCAACGTAAAAAAAAAATCATTTAAACACCACAACGCTACTGAAAGTGTGTGTAACTGAGCTTTCGCTCTTTTAAACCATTCACTTACCTTCAGTAAGACCAATAGGTCGTATCACCCAAAGCGTGAGAGAACAGGCTAGCAGCAAGGATCCACACCACAGAGACACTCTGCATCGGTGCTGCTGCCATCTTGTTCAACGACGAGAACAGACCCAGCGACTTTTCGCACATTTGAAGCTCTTATTTACGCAAAAAACTTGCAGTTATAGACACGAGACAGAGTCCATAGTCTTCTCGTCCGTTTCGGGATTCACCAAACGTTATTCCTGCGCCAACTCAGGCCGAAGATCGATGTTTCTAAACTTTTACATGTTACTGCGCCCTCGTTCCATTCGAGCTAGCTGATGCTGGCGGCTAGTTGTTGCTGCTCTTGGAGGCTTGTTGCTTCTCCGCATGTGTGGAATGTTGGGGAGGGTAAGTGGGCGGAGCCTACGGGCTCGCGCTGGCAGAGAACCCAAACATTGGACCGCAATCTTTAATTAAACAACGTCACAACTTTTTACGAGTCATAAAACTTGTAATAAATAAATAAATAAATACAAAGAAACTATTTTCCAATCAATCAAACTTTATTTATTAAGCACATTTCACACAAATTGTTGCAACAGAACAAGTTTTAACGCAAGTACAATACAATAACACACCCACAATCAGTGGTAAATAGAGAAGTTTGATGGTAATATCATTTATAAAAAAAAAAACACAAATAAACACAGTTTAATGAAAGAGGGAAAAATCAGATGCATAATAAAACTAATTAAAAGATTTTTAAAAGTTATATAGAAATAAAATGAAATAAAATTTGAAAAAAACATTCTGCCTGAGAAATAATTATGTTTTTGCTATTAAGAATGGTTAAAACGCGTTACAATTATTTTTACTTCACAGTTTATCAAACTTTATTTGATTTGTAAAATCAGCAAATTCTAATTGCGCACATAATTTGTTTGGGACTTTCTATAAACTGTAACAATAGCAAATTAATATTAATATTTTTTATCGGACACAAGACAACCATTTGTTCCTCTATCCATGACTTCGTAGGCTTTGTAGATCTGTAACAATGAGTTTGCTTCAAGATGGTGATGAATTATCAATACTAATGATTTGGCTGGTGTCATTTGTAGTAAACAGCTTTAAAGACTACTCACAGCAGATCACATGTGCCATACAACACCAACCCAGATAAACTTTATTACTGATCAGCCACAGAGCATATAAAACATGCTGCAAGATGACAAGAATGTTGTGGCGTCTTTTAAAACAGTTTAAACCACATATAAAAGTAAAAAAATACCAACTAAAAGACTTTTTTGCTGAAAGGGTATCAACAGAGAGAAATGGGGATGTTCTTCCAAGATTTAAACATTATTTTATGCTTTTTTATAATCCAGAAATGACAAAATGTGTTCAATTATTATTTATACTTTAGAGAATATGTTTAACACTTGAGACCCCACCCCTACAACCACAAGGCTATTATTTTGTTTTTGTGCCCAAAAGGCAACTCAAACATAAAACATTAGGGGCTAAATGATAAAATAGTCTTTAAGTCACATTTTAAAAGCAGTAATTTCCAGGACACCTCTAATTTTACTCTGATGCCTATAATTTAACAGCTAAATGTATTTAAGAGGAGTATCCCCATGAAGGCCGAAGCTAACACCACATACAAAAAATTAAAACGAGAAATATTTTATAAGTGATAATAATAGCTAAATGAATATCAAAAACAAATGAAATTACAAAACACCAAACACACACACACACACACACACACATTGGACTAGCTCGAATAGTTCACCCAACTGTCACCAAATTTCCATGATCGCATTACAATAGACTGGAAATGAAGCATCATACACATTGTCATATAAAACAAACCCAAACTCTTTATTAGTAAAGGCAACGATGCATTATTTCTATATTTTAGATTTACAAACCATTCTTCCTGTGGAACTGCACGTTAGTTCTGGCGCCACCTAGTGTCTCATATGTGTACTACAGGTCTATGCCTGCAAACATGACACTCAAAACATAAACATGAGACCTTTTTAGAAAAATTCATTTAGTCTGTTTTTCATTTTAAAGAAGAGAGAAAGATATAGTCACGTGGGACAAACAATGCTTTATTTAAATACTCCATGACAAAGACGCATATCTGGGTAATAAAGGTAATCAATGAGAACAACAAACAATTAAGCCTGGGGGTGTGTAACAAATACATAATCTGGTAAACAAATGTGATTAAAAGCAAAGTGTCAAAATAAAACGGTTCCACACATACAAAACCAACAGTAATCACCAATAAGTTAAAGAGCAAGTCACCCCCAAATCCACTTTTTTTTCTGATGAACTATATAAATGTGTGTCTAATTGTGCTGCAGACACGTGTCGTCAATAGTTTTGCACTTTAGTGCATTTTAGTTAAAATTTAAATTTTCTGCCTAAAACTGTCAGTGTTGTGCCGTTGTCAGGTAAAAACTCTGCACTGCATTTGAATTTAAATTTGCCACCGCCATTGGCTAAGAGGTGCGCTATGATGTTAGCTGGTACATTATGATGTCACAATGTCAATGTGAGCCTGTGAGTGTGTGTATTTGTTAGTGGCTCTGCCCTCTCGGTCTGCCGGGCAACCGCATTTGTTGCATTTTTCAAACAGGAAGTGGGAGTTGAGTAAGAATCTGGTAGGAGGTGACTTGCTCTTTAACAATGGCCAAATCAAAATGAAGAAAAACTAAGCGACATTTGAAAAGCTACCGTTCATTTAGTCCTCAATACCAATCTGAGCCTCCTGCAGTAAATCTGGGTGACTTTTCCTTTGTTTTGTTTTTAAATGAGGGCATTGAAGGCGTTGTATCTTCAGCGTAAAATTCCATAACAAATCCACTATTTTTGTTCTGCATTTGATGTTTGTAATTATTTCTTTTCATTTAACCTCTTTGTGGAAAACCCGCCCTGAAAAACATCTGACCCTAACCATTGACGTTCACCACCAGCATACGTTGTCTGGCTGGGAACTGTGCACTATGTATTGTTGCCTTGAAAGGATCGGCGAGTTTATGTCCTCCACTGGCAAAAACCAGAGCAGCACTCTGGCTCCAAGGCAGCTCTCAGGGTGCTCAGCACCCTTAAACCTGAAATGCTGAATCGCCCCTGAATGGAGTTGCTAATGCTAACGGTTAGCTTCTGCTATTTGAGACGTTCTCTGCAGTTTTCTGAACGCTAAACCAACAACAGCCTCCCCCGTCGTGACAGCGTGACCTAGATCTAATCCTAGAGTTTCACCGTCTGTTTTCTATCAGAAGCTACTGCAGGAGGTAGGTGTAGGAGACTATTTTCATGTTCAGTCTGCAAGAAACAGAATGACTGATTATAATCAGAAATATTCAGAATTTATTTCAGTGAAGTTGACCTTTACATTTTTTTTTCTCGAGTAGCTCTGTTGACTATATGTAAGTTTTGCCTTTTCTTGGGCATTTTTTCTTCTAGTTTCTCAAGAAAAACTATTTTTGGACATTTTACTTTTCTGTTTCTGGTTCTGTGAAGCTTGGAGGATTTTTACTGCTATTTTTTTAGCTTTTCTCACTTTTTGAGCATTTGTTATGATGCGTAACCATGGCAACAAGCTGGTTTACAATCGGGAGCAGCTGATTAACATTGGAAAGGCTGAAATAATACCTCAACTGAAGCCACAAATCCCAAATGAGCTAAAACGTAAGAAGCGTGGGTGCAGAGCGGGAGCTAAACGGAGACAGAGAAAGAGGAAATTCAAACCATCTCTTCCATCGATCATAATGGGCGATGTGAGATCACTGGCCAACAAGATGGAGGAACTCCAAGCCCTTTCAAGGACTCAGCCAGAGTTTCGGAACTGCTGGAGGAGATAATGCAAACAAGGATTCTCCAGAGAATCAAGAAAATGATGGACAACCCTGAGCATTCTCTTCACAAGACTGTCCGACAACGGAAGAGTGTCTTCAGTCAGAGGCTTCTTCAGTTTGGCTGCAACACTGACCGCTACTGGAGATCCTTCCTGCCAACAGCCGTTGTAATATACAACAACTCTTTGATGACTTGATTATTATTATTATTCTGAGCTACTACAGCAATATTAATAAAGTATTTTTGAACTGAATTGAATTAGAAAATCCTGACCAAAAGGGATCCGCTGTGAAATGTAAGGTTATAAATAAATTTGTCTTTGTGGTCAGACTGTTTAGGGGTGTGAGTGCTGATTAAGACACACTCTTACACACACACACACTCTTACACACACACACACACACACACACACACACACACACACACACACACACACACACACACACACACACACACACACACACACACACACACACACACACACACACACACACACACACACACACACACACACACACACACACACACACACACACACACACACACACACACACACACACACACAGATCAAGTGTCATTTATTTAATACACATTTGTGGCCAGTTTTAGAGAAGTTGCACTGCAACAGGCTGCGATACGTCCTGATCGTGTCACAAATAAACACCTTCTGGTTTGGTGGAGCATACTACATTGTTTGAATTCCTCACTATTTTACTGATTACAGAAACCAGGATAAGCCTTAGTCAACAGCTCTACAACATCCCTGCTAGTGATCCTAAACATCTTAGTGAAAACAGCTATTGCACGTGAGTACATGTTTTATTTTAACCGGGCGAGTTTAAGGTGCACACTGCAGATCTGGTTTCCCTTACTGATTACAGATCAGATTAACCGTTACCAGCGAAGAGGAAAAGCTGGACTGCAGACCACGCTCTCCTTAGGGCTCTGCGTTGGAGTTCTCCTCCTCTGATGTCAGGATTTTCTGGAGGATCTTTTGGTAGAACGGGGAGAAAACCAGCTTGTTGAAATTGACCAGCCGACCGAAGTGAACCGAGAGCTCTTTGAGCTCCCTGCTGACTGGAGCCAGACCTCCTGGGAGGGGAGGAGGGGTCTTGTGCTGACTAGACTCCAGCGCAGCCAGGAGGTAGCTCTGAATTCGAGCGTCTGTGAGGAGAGAGAGAGAGAGAAGATTCCATCATTTGTCGGGGATGGAGGTGTGCGGGAGGAGAGGCAGTTCTCACCCATCAGCTTACGGACAGCGTTGTCTGGCTGGGCGACGGCTGAGATCTGGCCCTTCAGGGAGCTCTCACGGTCGGCTGGGAATGGAGAGAAGCCGTGCTGGCTCAGACAGCGACTCAGCTCCACACACAGCTTCTCCCCAACGGTCGCCAAGGCCTCCTGCATACTAAATGACCTGGAGAAGAAAACCTACGTGTCAAAAACCGATGATGGTGTTAGAGGAAAACAGGCAAAGTGTCACACATCAGCTTTAAAACTAAACAAAAGCAAGAGTGTTTTGAGGTTCTGGTCAACTGTTTGCATATTTTATATTTATATATTTTAGTCTGAGTTGTATTTTCTACAACAGAAAACAATCAGCCTAGTTAAGCTGAAATAAACTGCTTTAGAGGAGATCTATGGTTGGATCATGAATCTGTGTGAGACTGGACTGCAACAAAGAAAACCGTCTTCCCACGTCAGCTTTTCCAAATCAACATCTGCAATTCTGTAGAGCAAATCTTCGTACTCACGGCACACGCATGTCTGCAAGCATGACACCGACAGTGTTTTTAAGGGTCTCCATCAGTCCGGGCAGGCCTGAGATGGCCTCTCCTGTTGTTGTGTAGACAATCAGGAGCACAGAGGCCAGCAGAACCAACCGCTCGGCCTCCTGCTGCATCTCCTGGAAGCGAGTCTGATCCATCAGTACGGTCTGCAAAGGAACCAGAGCTTTTCCCTCCGTGCAAAACCAGAAATGTAAATATCACCCAACAAAAGAAGAACTGGAAGGATTTACCTCTGGAAAGGGGTCGGAGGCATGGTCCCACCTGAGCAGGCGGAGATAAGCATGATTGTGAACATTTAGGTGCACAAGGGATGAAGACTGATGGGAAGCAGCGCCACATGCATCCGATTCTCTCAGGTGTTTCACAGTTTCCTTCAGCCACTTCTCAGTGTAGTCTAAGGCATCTAAAGAGGACACCACTTTCATTTTTAACTATTTATTTCATAGCAATGTGCACACATTTTATATGACATTGGACTTTTTTGTTTGTTGCCAAGCAACCAAACATCACATTTAACTCATTCACTGCCATTGACGACTAAAGTCGTCATTTTAGATCCAACAGTTCACTGCCAATGACGACTAAAGTTGTCATTTGCATTTTTTTACTGTTTGAGCATCAGAACGAGCCCCCGCGCTGAAAGGACAAACATCTCAGCCCTGAAGCCGATCTTCATCCGCGTACGTCACACGTCACATGATCAGGAAGCAGACCATCCGTGTGTTAGGAGATCGTTTTGGGCCGTTCCTGTAAAAAAAAAAGGTGAGGCGCGAACCGGAAAAGCGTCTGCCGATCACAATTCAACAACGGATTATGAAAGAACGGATAACGCTCGAAACACGCGGATTCTTCCTGATGTAAGAGGTGAGTCTCCGCTTTGTTTTGGTTGTTTTGGCGTCGACATCATCCTAGCACGCAACGTTCTGTGACTCTTAAAAAAACAGTAAAAACGGTGAGAAACGCTGGCAGTGAACGAGTTAAAGAGCAAGTCACCCACAACCAGATTCTTACTCAACTCCCACTTCCTGTTTGAAAAATGCGACAAATGCTGTTGCCTAGGAGACCGAGAGGGTGGAGCCGCTAACAAATACACACACACTGTGACATCATAATGTACCATCTAACATCATAGTGTACCTCTAAGCCAATAGCGATGGCAGATTTTAATTCTAATGCAGTGCTGAGTTTTTGCCTGACGACGGTGCATCGCTGACAGTTTTAGGCAGAATATTTAAATTTTAACTAAGATGCACTAAAATGCCAAATTATTGACTACACGTGTCTGCAGCACGATTAGACACACATTTATATAGTTTATCAGAAAAATGAGTTGATTTGGGGGTGACTTGCTCTTTAACTAAACAAAACAAATAAAGCAATCATGCTCCTCTGTTTGCTAAAGATCAACCACGGCGGGTCAAGTGACCATAAACAAACAAAAAACATTTGGCAGGGGAGCGATTCCTTACTGGGTTGTTTCTCCAGAAACTCCTGGAACTTGTTCCTCTCGTACTCGACCGACTGCTGCATGAGATGAGGCCTGATGCTGCTCAAGGCAAAGTTAGCCATGTCCACCTTCATCAGGTCCAGCACAGAGAAGATGGCCCTGGTTGGAGCACAGGAAGGAAAAAGACAGACGACACAGAAAACAGGAGGAGAAGTATGTAGCAGCTTCACTCTGAATCCCCCCTGAGAAGGTTAGCATTAGCATCGCAGAGCTGGTATTAAACCACAGGATCATCATGTCACAGCTAACCGACAAACTAACTGCCTCAGAATAAAGTAAAGCCTGGAGCGTGCAGAGGGAATGCTATTCTCTCTCTTTCATCGCATGGCTCACTTCAACAGAGGCACAATGTCCGTGATCTCCTTCAGCTTATCGATGTCCTCGTCTCTGCAGGGGGCGCACAGAGAGCCCATCATTCCAACGATGAACTGGGAAATCTGAGCAATGTCCAGAGCTCCGTTTTCCGCCTGCTGCTGGATGAGAGGTAAATCCAGAACCTCCTCGATCCGCGAGCGCAGGCGGCCATGGCCTGGCAGCAAGAATGACAGCAGTGTCTGGTAGACAGGGGCAAACAGAATAACAGATGCCACATCAGCTCGCCGCTTTTCCAACATTAAAGCTGCTCTGGGAGGAGACAGGAGCATCCTGGAGGAGTCATCTGTTAAAACAATTTGACTTAAAAAACAAATTTAATCAGAGTTTCAAATGAGTGCAGTTTTCCTTCTATACTGAATCCAAGCTCACCTCCTTAATCTCTCCCAGAAGTTTGATAGCATGTCCGTACGAAGGTGGATCCTCCTTCAGCTGAGCCTCTAAACAATCCCAGAAGGCTTTGTGCATGATCTCCTTCACTTTGCGCTCCAAACTGAACCAAAAGACATAATTCTGCTGCTTTATGGAATTTGTGAAAGGTGAAAATTCAAAGACCAGCCACTTCAGTCCAAATCAGATCCTGACCTTCCTTCAGGAAGCTCCGTAGGTTTGACCTGAAAGGCCTGGTTGACCACAATTTCATGAGCTAAAGCCATGTTGGTGACTCCTTTAGCCGTTTCCATCAGCTCCTCCGCAGAGACAACCCTGGGTGGGCTGGCTTTGAGAGCACACAGAGGACTTATCACAACATAATTACTCATCAGATTTAAACGCTATGAAAAGAGAAAGATCTCCACCAACAAACTGTTTTTACAAATTACTCATGCCTTCAAACAAAGACTTTTCAGATTTGGTTACTCACATCTACGTCATCTGTCATACGCAATCTGAAAACTTACAAAGAAACCCTGTAATAATGTTTAAAGAGCAAGTCACCCCCAAATCAATTCATTTTTCTGATAAACTATATAAATGTGTGTCTAATCGTGCTGCAGACACGTGTCGTCAATAGTTTTGCACTTTAGTGGATTTTAGTTAAAATGTTAATTTTCTACCTAAAACTGTCAGTGTTGTGCCGTTGTCAGGTAAAAACTCTGCACTGCATTTGAATTTAAATCTGCCATCGCTATTGGCTAAGAGGTACCCTAGAACGTTAGCTGGTACCATATGATGTCACAATGTTGCTGTGAGCCTGTCTGTGTGTGTGTTTGTTAGCGGCTCCACCCTCTCGGTCTGCTAAGCAACAGCATTTGTTGCATTTTTCAAACAGGAAGTGGGAGTGGAATAAGACTCTGGTAGGGGGGGACTTGCTCTTTAAAGTTCTTCCTGGTATCTGTGCAGAAAAAGTCGCCCAAACTCACTGAAACATTGATTAATAATCTTCACAACCAAATATCAACAAGGCCTCACACAATTATCCTTTAACTTAATAAATAAAGTTATTCTAGTTGTGCCTGCACTTCAGGCATAAACACACAGTTCTAACTACTACCTCTTTTAGGCCATTTTATACATTAAAAACCGCTTCAATATCAGCCTCCTGTTTGTTTCTGTCCCCCCTTGTTTGACCCCAAAATAGACCAGCGAAACAACAGCAACATGTCATTCAGAGAGGTAACCATGGTAACAGCCTGGACAATTTGAGGGAATGTTTTCAATTTCATTAACTGCGTCTCCAAGAAGCCAGACTTCCTTTTCATCTTTTAAAGTTTACTCTCGTTTTTCAGGCTTTCTTTAGGTCTATGAGAGCTTTCCTCTGGGAATCGACTTCTTAATAATCAATTTCATAATAATTTCTACCCTTGACAAAAACATCAGAGATGACATAGTTCCACAGACCAAAAATAACAGTTTAGAACCAACAATATGATTCCTTACAAGAATGAACAGAAGCTCAATATGTTCTTCCTTTCAGATTCTGTTTGTGCTTTTATTAAAGAGCAAGTCACCCCCTACCAGATTCTCACTCAACTCTCACTTCCTGTTTGAAAAATGCAACAAATGCTGTTGCCTAGCAGACCGAGAGGGCGGAGCTGCTAACAAATGCACACACTCACAGGCTCCTAACGACATTGTGACATCATAAGGACCAGTTTACATCATAGCATACCTCTTAGCCAATAGCGGTGGCAGATTTAAATTCAAATGCAGTGCCGAGTTTTTACCTGACAACGGCACAACACTGACAGTTTTAGGCAGAAATTTCAAATTTGAACTAAAATGCACTAAAGTGCAAAACTATTGACTACACGTGTCTGCAGCACGATTAGACACGCATTTATATAGTTTATCAGAAAAAAAAGTTGATTTGGGGGTGACTTGCTCTTTATCTTTTCTGCTTTTCAGTCAATCATCATGCTAAAATGAAGCAAATACTAAATAATAAACCTGGACCTACTTTTTTTGAGGAGCCATCGTTACAAGACTTGCACTTTTAGAAATCCAGTAAAACTACTGTTCTTTTATTTCTAACAGACTAATAAAATGTTTGGATCATTGGACGCTAAATATAGAAATAAATTATTCGAGTTAGGCCAAGAACAACATAAGAGCAAAACTGTCTAAATGAAGGAACGATGACCTAAGATTGATAAAAATTGCATTAGGGGAATACACAACAGTAGTTATGTTAGAGCAGGAACCATATAAGGGACCCTTAGGCCATTTCTCCAAATAGCACAAGTCTAACATAAATACATGAATCTGCTGCCATTTTTCACCCCAAATGCATTAATATAAACAACACATTTCTTTAAAAAACATACAAATGTTTATCATGCATGAAGTCTAGTTTAACTCTGATCTATTCCAGTTCAAAGGTCAGGATTGCATCAACTGGTATGCCTTTGTGCGGCTCAGTACCCACGAAGTAGCTCTCAGCTTCACAACGGTTGGTGACTCGTGTTAGAGCAAATAACTCCACAAAATCAGCTAAACGTGCACAAGCATGCTGCTACATGTACATGTTTTTAGGAGTCAAAGCGCTCCTTTGCTCACCCTGAGGAGTACTCCCTCTGTGAGGGCTTGGAGGGTTAGCACGGGCCCTTTTTCTCACCGTGTCCTCAGAGGCATCCTTTGCCTCCTCGTCTCCTCCACCCTCAAAGCGGTCTGCTTCCTTTGGCATGGTGGAGTCTGCAGAACAATGAGTGACACAAATTATTCAAGCTTCCTTCTGCAGTTATTACACGGCTCTGTGTTCTGCAGGTCAGGAAATGTAAATATGCTGAAACATGCACGAGCGAGTGTCCTGTGTTGTAGTTTGTAGCCATCGTGCAGAACTGATGATGTGAAGGTTTGTTTCGAGAGGTTTAGATGATGACATCATCACCCACAGGGTAGAGGAGGGGTCTGAGCGATGCAGATGTGTTGAAAACAAACAAAAACCTTACAGACTTAAGGTTTCTGTGTGTGGGTAATTAAATCTTAGCCACGTGACTAACCTTTTTTCGCGGAGGAAACAGATTTTTTATCGGCGGAACTTCTTTAAGGTTAGCAGCCCAACAACAAAGCCGTATGACACAGCTTCTCCTTCACAAGTCTCACTCAGCGCCGACCTCTCTGTCCCAGGTTCACTTACAGCTTCCACGGGACCGAACCACGTCTCCAGGAAACCCAAAGGAGTCGGTTCCTCCTCAGAGACACTACTTAACTCACGCGGCAGCCCGATTCCTCCACAGTTCTGTAACGCCGCTAACTAGCAGCAGCCACTTCCTAGGTGGGGCTAAAGTCACGTGACAGCCGAGCCTCTGCACGCACCACGCACGTTTACGCATGCGCCGTGAATCCTCTGCAACGCTCTTTTTTTTTTAAATAAACTTTATTTAACAACCAATGAGTATACAACATAGAAACGAATGAAGTATACAAAACAACAGAATATGAACACACAAAGCCAGGGGTAAAAGAAAAAAGTAACAATTATAAGAATACACGCAAAAATTCACATATATATATTGTTTTGAGAGCCTTTTTGTTGGTGGATTCTGATATTGATTTTATGTACAATTCCACGTCCTTAAAAAAATGACAGAAATATGGTGTTTTGTTGGTAAACTTACATTTGTGAATAAAGAATTTAGCTAAGAGTATTAACAGATTTATCATAAAAAACATTTATCATTCTTCATGGGGAACTTAAAGAAACAGAATAAAACATTTTCCCATCGTAACGAAAACTCCCTTAAAATATGGACAGTAACAAACCTGCTAAATTCCTTCCAGAATCTATGTGTAAAAGAACAGCACCAAAAAAGATGCGTCACAATTTCTGGATGATCCCCACAGAAAGTACAATTAGTATTTATGTCCCTTTTAAATTTTACCATGTAATGACTGGCTGGATAACATTTATGTAGAAGTTTAAATGAGACTTCTTTCACCTTATTTACAATCAAATATTTCTGGGGGATCATCCAGACTGTCTTCCACTTGATATCTGGAACATATCGGTTCCAATGAGATATTATATACGGGAGAGAGACGATATCTTCCTGGAATAAACTACGTATTCTCTTAAAGCTGTTACCAAGTTCTAGAGAAAAGCAGATTTTTCCTATTGGTGACTCAACTGGATCAGGGAGTGTGACTGAGGTAGATATTGAGCTGTCAGTGTTTTTATATAACATTAAAGTCCCTGAGGGTATGGCACCAAGCACCATTGAGAATTCCTGAACACTGACTGGGAAATTATATAGGGCAATAAAGTCGTTGTAAGTAAGTAGTTGTCCCTCTTTATTAACCAGCTGAGCCACCAATAGGATCCTCTGCAACGCTCTTGGTCCTAAAACACGTTTCATGGGCGTTTCTAGCATGCCTTTGAGGGTGCTCACGTACTCACAGAGCACCCCCAAAATTTTAGATTTATTTATTAACTCTTTGTCCATCCATCCACCTTTGTGGTCACTTTATGTATTAGCAATAATTTTATACTGTTTGTTCTTTCTTTATAAATATTTTTACAAGACTTAGTAGGAACACTTGCTCTAACTTTTTTCAAACACTACTGCCTTGAGAGAATGGGGAATTTGCCCTCTACTGGCAAAACGCTAGAACTGCACTCTGGTTTCAACAGCATTTACAGAAGGGAAGATGGGGAGTTGCTGCCCTCCAGTGTCTGAAAGCATGTACTACATGTTCAGTCATTACATTTAGCCTTTTTATGCTTAAAAATTGTTACTAGGGTTTTGTAGCTAGCTGCTAATAGGTCCAGCTGTAGCTCGTGATTCATTCTTTTTGAACATAGATAAAAATAGATTTGTTGAGTTTAAATTGTAAATTATTTTTTAAAGTGAATACATTCTGGCTTTTCTGTCTAAATGGATTTTTTAAAGACTTACTTAGAAGAAACACTTGCTCAAATTTTATTTTCAAACACTGTCAGGGGTGTCAAACTCAAAATCACGCTGGGCTGAAATGAAAAACTGGGACTGAATATTTATACAAAAGTGACGGTTAATGAGCACATTTTCCTTTATCTACAGATATGTCGTTAAATACTGAATCTGGCATGACTAAATTACACACGAGCAAGTGAATTTTAAATAAAACACATCAGTGAAACTTATCGATCTTTTTATTATTTTTATTGCTTACAAATTGTACATATTCATCATTTTTGACCTTTTGAATCTTTAAGTTTTCTGTTGTCTTGTTTACTCTTTATTTTTATTTTTTACTCTCCTTTTCTGCTCCTGTAATGAATGTTATTGTTGCTGTGACACCACTAAAGGACAATAAAGGGATTTTCTATTCTATTCTATCTGTAGCCTTTCCAGTTCCCATTTTAAAACAGGTTTAATCTTTTTTTTTTAAGGCCAACAACAAAAACCAAAAAATAGCAATCTTCTTACATGAAAATATTTCATCTATTAACTTAAACTGTGTTTAACGGAGTTCAATCAGCTCAGTCTGGAAGTTGGTTGGTGAGCTTTTCATGTCAGTCGCGGACGACTGAGAAGTTGAAATCTCATTTTACGGGCTTCAAAGTCGGCAAATGGCTGAGTAAACTCGGAGCTTAGAGGAGTATTTTCACTTTGTTTGAGACTGAGGAGGGTATCGCTGCAGACGCTGATTCCAGTGTGGATGCTAATGATTGTAATCAGAAGGGAGGGGGCGCTTCGACTGACGCGACAACGCTACAAAGCAGTATGGGATTTGTAGTCTTTGCTGTAAAATGGGCCAGCTTTAATATATATTTGATATTTCATCTTGCGGGCCAGATAAAAAATAGACCGTGGGCCTAGTTTGGCCCTAGGGCCAGAGTTTGACACCTGTGCACTATGTATTGTTGCCTTGAAAGGCTCGGCGAGTTTATGTCCTCCACTGGCAAAAACCAGAACAACACTCTGGCTCCAAGGCAGCTCTCAGGGTGCTCAGCACCCTTAAACCTGAAATGCTGGAATCGCCCCTGAATGGAGTTGCTAATGCTAACGGTTAGCTTCTGCTATCTGAGACGTTCTCTGCAGTTTTCTGAACGCTAAACCAACAACAGCCTTCGCCATCGTGACAGCGTGACGTAGATCTGTCAGGATTTTCTAATCCTAGAGCTTCACCGTCTGTTTTCTATCAGAAGCTACTGCAGGAGATAGGTGTAGGAGACTATTTTCATGTTCAGCCTGCATGAAACACTCAGCGTGACCTGTTAGAATCAGAAACAGTGATGGAATAATTTGTTTTCAGTGATCCACACTTTTAAAAAGAAGCTGACTACCCCTAAAATGGTCATGGTCTAATTTATTAATAATCTGAAGTAATCGCTAAAACCTTTTGTTCGGAGATGGGAAATAAATGTTTGTTGTGGAATTGTCATTTTCCAACTGCTCATTTAAATCCTTGAAAAGGACGGAGAAGGGAAGATTTTTTTTACTCAAAATCCTTTCAAATTTTTCTTCCAGCCACCTCTGTAACACACTTTGTTTTTCACCTAAATTAATTCTTTATTTTCAATCTGTGGAATAAAGCAAACCATGAAAGTGATGAAGCTACAGCTGGTTGGCTGCAGAGTCTCCAAAGTACTGGTTAAAGATCCCAGGGTGAGCTCCATAAAACCGTCTGAGGAGGCGCTTTCTCTCCTTGGCTGATCTCTTGGTGTCCAGGTGGATGCTGTTTAAGAGCGCCCACAGTTCCTGATTGGTGTTTTTTGAAGAGTCAACGTGGGTCCTGCTGGAGGCCCGATGGCTGAGAGCAGGACCTGATGGACAGAGAGGGTTTTGTTAGTGGAGATGATCATAAGTCCAGATTCACTCAAAAGTATTAGAGAAGAAGAAGAAGTCCTCCACATGTTGACTAAACGTCTTCGGAATAATAAGAAATAACATGCTGAGATGATAATTTATGCTTTTTAAAATAAACTCAATCTTTCACCAATTATAAAATCTGCAGAAATATGAAGAAATCGAAGATCTAAAGCCTGATGTTGCAGGGATTTGTTTGTAGAAATCAAAGTAAAGTATGTCAGCATATATGGGGGGGATCTAAGAACATTTTTTCTTCCATCTCCAAGTTGCGTAAGCTGCCATAACATCCGATCGTCTCATTTTACCCGTCACATCAGGCTGTTCACCCTCAGCAAGGTCGGCCAGTTTCTCACTCACTCTTTTATGAAGAGATCCTGGAATCTGGGGGGAAAAGATTGAATCAGTGAATTTTCTATTAACCAAACTGCCTGGCGAAAGAAAAGTGTCTCCATTGGCTACCTGTTAAATTCAGAATAGATTTTAAGATCCTCCTTCTCACATATAAAGCTCTTAATAATCAAGCTCCATCATACATCAGTGATCTGATTGTCCCATACGTTCCTAACTGAGCACTTCGCTCTCAGACTGCAGGTTTACTGGTGGTTCCCAGAATATCTAAAATTAGGATGGGAGGCCGATCTTTTAGTTATCAGGCTCCTCTCCTGTGGAACCAGCTCCCAGCTTTAGTCCGTGAGGCAGACACCTTGTCTACTTTTAAGACTAGTGTTAGATAAAAACTGATTTTCTCCGTCTCTTGTTAATAATGTTGTTCTTTCAAACAGAGTCCATTAGCCTTATTCACATTTAAAGTGGTAAATACAGTATTAGATGCATGGAAAATGATTTTGTCTGGGTACCATCTGGTGTTCTTGAAGTCAAACGAAGGTTCAATCCTTGTTTATATTTTGGAATTCTCCTTTGGCTCCGGCAGGGAAGTTCAGCCTTGTAAGTCTACAGTTCTGTTATCACAAAAAGTGGGCGAGCTTATCTATAATGTGTGTGTGCTATGTTACTTGTGAATAAAACCTTTTGAGAGCTTCGGCTCGAGGAGAGAGACAAACAGACCTCCCATTGGTGCGTGTCTTTATTTCTCTCCGGTTTTGCAAAATCAGGTTGTTGATTATTAGTGTTTATTGATAAATGGTATTGATAACCTAATATTTCGAACCCCTTTGCATGTGTTGGGCTTTCTTTGAGGTATGCCTGGATTGATTAAATAAAAATACCCAACAACTAGGCTTAAAACATTTTTATTTGATAGGGCCTATGGTTAAAATCTGATGTTAGCCTAGATCTGGACAAGTGGGGGAGTAGAGGGAGGTGGAGTGTACAGTCGGTAAAGACGGCTCTCCCTTGCCCTGACTCCAACATGCCTCCATCTAAAAGGCTAGGTTATCCAGAGTTATCTCTGTAGTTATGCTGCTATAGGCTTAGACTGCTGGAGTATATATACTTACACACACACACACACACACACAGACACACACACACTGACCACTTTTCACACTCGACTACTTTCTTCTACAGTCTGCTCTTTAACTGTATTATTTCCTGCTATTTCAGCTATTAACTTTATTTTCTCTCTAAGTGTTTTCTCCCCAGAAGAAGCTACAACGATGTTCTGCTGAGCTGTGGTGGTCTCATGGAGGGGACCATCGACTAGCACACTGCTGTTAACCACTTAAACTTTCTCCCTCTCCTGATAATAACTTCTTGTTTCCTTGACGTTGGATGTGCTACTACTAGTTTACCCATTTAATTATAGATCCACTAGGATAAATACAATAAAGTTTATCTCTCGCCAAATAGAATATTTACTAAGCAATCACGGTGTAAACACAGTCACATTGCTTGGTGTGTGCGTGCGTGCGTGCGTGTGTGTGCGTGTGTTCTGTCTTCTCCATCCCCAGGGAGTCGTGGAGGATGGCTGCTTATACTGAGCCAGGATCCTCTGGAGGTTTCTTCCTGTTAAAAGGGAGTTTTCCTCTCCACTGTCACTAAATGCTTGCTTAGTATGAGGATTGCTGTATAGTCACTGACACTAGTCAGTGACTTGATGCAATTTGCTGGGTTCCTTATATAGGAAACATTATTTCTGATTGGCTTAATGAACTGACCTGGATTGGAATGTTTATTATGTGAAGTGCCTTGAGATGACTCTTGTCGTGATTTGGCGCTATATAAATAAACTATACATATATATATATATATATATTACACACACACATATACACATACATATATACAAACTTATACATATATATACACATGTACATATATATACATATGCATATACATATATACATACATATATACATACATATATACACACACACACACACACACACACACACACACACACACACACACACACACACACATTTATTTAATATGTACATTATAGCTTCCAGCCATCTGCAGCATGGTCCTGGTGTGGCTGCTCCAAGTTGATCAGGAACTGATTTTTGTGGATGTGCTGGATGGTTTGGATGTGTTAAAAAAGACCTTGAGGAAGTTTTTGCAGCACTGTTCCACACGCTGATGGAAGCAGAGGAAGACCCCGACATCATTCTGTTACCTTAAAGATTTCTCCGACGTTGCTCAACATAAAAACCAGCAGAAGATCCTCCCTCTCCTTTGGGAAGGTCTTGCTGTGTAAAATCGCTCTGGAGAACGACTTCTTCACCGCCAGCCTGTTCTCCACCTACAACAACACACCTGAGCGTCACATCACCAAAACCCTGACATGCCTCCAAGCTGGAACCAGCAGCTCTCACCTCCTTGTCCACTTTGATTCCTTGAGGATCAGCAGCCAAAGACATAAACATGAGCAGCCTCCGCATCTCTTCTCTGCTGCTTCGAGGCAGCAACTTCAGACACAACTGCAGAGCCTCCAGAGCCTTGTCCAGCTTGGCGTTTACTGTAAATAAAGAAGGAAATAACTCGTTGCGACTTCATCTCCATGAAAGCCGCATCGTCTGATGCTTCCGTACCAAGCAGGTCGGAGATGGCCGTGTAGACGTCGGCCATGGGCCGTGGCAACAGCGGAGGCCTGTTTGTGCTGCTGTAGTGTTTCGACAGAGTCTCGTAGAGCAGCAGCTTGCACCGGACCGAGCCGCTCTGAGAGAGACCCGTCTGCTCTGCGCTGCTGGGACCTTCAACGACAAAAGGACAAGGATGTCAGTGTTCTTACTGCAGAGATTCTCCAGCTCTCCTTGGCTCCTTGCAACTTGGACCAAACGTGGCAAGAACTTAACTCGCGTTTAACTTCAAATGGACAGTATAAAGCCATAATAGTTTAAAATGACATTTCACACAAATGATATTCAATTATTATTTATTTTAAAAATGTCCACATTATTAGTGCTAGCATTAGTGGAGTGTTATATTTTTATCTATTTTCCAAAACTTTATTTTTACTTCATATGTGAACATTTAAAGAGAAAGTCACCCCCAAATCAACTTTTTTTCTGATAAACTATAAAAATGTGTGTCTAATCGTGCTGCAGACACGTGTCGTCAGTAGTTTTGCACTTTAGTGCATTTTTGTTAAAATTTTAATATTCTACCTAAAACTGTCAGTGTTGTGCCGTTGTCAGGTAAAAACTCTGCACTGCATTTGAATTTAAATCTGCCATCGCTATTGGCTAAGAGGTACCCTAGAACGTTTGCTGGTACCATATGATGTCACAATGTCGTTGTGAGCCTGTGTGTGTGTGTGTATTTGTTAGCCGCTCCGCTCTTTCGGTCTGCTAGGCAACAGCATTTGTTGCATTTTTTAAACAGGAAGTGGGAGTGGAGTAATAATCTGGTAGGGGGTGACTTGCTCTTTAAGCATTTTTTTATCGTTCATTGTGGAAGAATTAGTGGAGCCAGCAGATGAGCATCAAACAGCTGATGTCTCTAAATAAGTAAACCCCTCATCTGTGACATTAAACCACCACCAATGTTTCTTCAAACCATTCATGTGATCAGCTGTTTGGTTGCACTGTGACATCACTTCCTGTCAAACTATCTAAAAAAGAAGCAATTGAACATTAAAAGATTTCAAGGCCACGACGATATTTTATCTTGAATGATTGGATGTCAGAAATTTTTTGGTCAGCGGGGGGCGCTGTTTAGCATTTGGGGTTCCTATCATTTCCCTTCAAGAGGGCTGGGATTAAAACCAAAACAAGCTCTTGTTTGGATCTATTTTGACAGAAAATGTTGTTTAGCTTTTTTATTCTGATTCTGTAAAGTTATTTTTGTTTTTTACTCCATAATTAGGAGAAGGGGTGTCCAGAAAGGCCGTTTGATCCGTTTGGGATTTTGTGGACCGCGGTTCTAAATCCAAGTTAATAATTTGCCAACAGCACAAGCAGATGATGCACATGGCCTAGAAAACTACGATAAAAATGCAGAAAAATATGATTTTAGATGATTTTATTAGGTGCTATTTAATATTGAAATAAATCTGTTTTCTCAGTGTTTAAATAATAATAAATATATATATGCAGAAGATTTATATACTTTATTCCATTAAACACCCAGAGATACTGGCATCTATGTTTTATTCTGTTATTAATATTACTGGAAATAAATTTATTTAAATTTGCAATTTAATTCATTTTATTTCAGATTTTGGGATTCCACCACCCATCCACATTCTATTAATAAAATAATTAATTAGGTTACAATACGTTACAGAAGGTAATTAGATTACAATAAGTAATTAGATTACAATAGGTTACAATGTGATGCTGCTGATGACATCATAAATGTAACAATTCAATTCAAAAATACTTTATTAATCCCAGAGGAAAATTGATTGCTGTAGTAGCTCAGAATAATAATAATAATCAAGTCATCAAAGAGTTGTTGTATATTACAACGGCTGTTGGCAGGAAGGATCTCCAGTAGCGGTTAGTGTTGCAGCCAAACTGAAGAAGCCTCTGACTGAAGACACTCTTCCGTTGTCGGACAGTCTTGTGAAGCGAATGCTCAGGGTTGTCCATCATTTTCATGAACCAAGGTCACTTTAGAACACAGAACTCTCAGATCATAGCTGGCAGTCAGTCGTGAGTGGAGACACACGTCGAGTTCTTACAGAACGGAGAAACGTCTTACATTAAACACAGAGAGGATGAAAAACTTCAACTCTTTCCTGGGAGATGTGTCTGAATCCAGTGGAAGTGGATTGTAACCTGCTGATTCACTGATCCGATGATTCAGACATGGAAGAATGTTCTGAACTGATTTCTGACCAACGAGAAACGGAATCCGATAAATCTGTGGAAACTCAGCAGAAATCAGTCCATTTTTCTGATGCAGTGATTCTTCTGTGTGAGACAAACGACGTTTCAACTAAATCTGAACGTTCCTGGGAGATGTGTCTGAATCCAGTGGAAGTGGATTATAACACGGTGATTCACTGCTGCCATGATTCGGACAGCGATGAAAGCTCTGAACAGACTTCTGACCAACGAGAAATGGAATCAGACAAATCTGTAGAAGTGCAACAGGAATCAACCTTTTGTGCTGATCCGAAGCTTTCTCTGTCTGAGACGAGCCAACCAGAGACTCCTGTCGTGGAGACTCTGCGATCGTCACATCGACATTAATATTATGGACATCTACTTTCCATAGGCTCCAATATCACTTTTTTGAGGCCAAATGGAAGGTGGCCACCACCGCCATTTTGACCGTGTCACAGGTTCCGTCAAGCCCAGACAATTCCAAAAAAGGGAAGAGAGGTGGAGCTGAGGGTGGGGCTGTAAGGCTGGGATTGACTGACGACACCCGGTCGAACTAGCTACAAGCTAACCTGAAGCTAACCCAAAGCTAATGCGGAGGTGGGAGCTAAGCTAACGGAGGTAGCAACGTGTGTCGGATGCTCATTAATTATACAGAATTTTAGGCTTTTAATACACTTAAACAGAAGAGTGAGAAACAAATTCACCCCCCTCAGAGTTGTCATGAGTGTAAACTAGATCATTTAAACAAAAAACATGTTCTGGTACCAGGCTGTAAACATGTTTATTACTGCTGTGAAATTGGTATTTTTAACATGGGAGTCAATGAGGATTTGCTCGCTTCTGACACCAGCCCCTAGTGGATGAGGGTGGAACTGCTATTTTTCTTACTCACGGGTTTGACTAAATTTTAAAGCTGCATTGTGGGGGCCTGGATCGTCGGCAGTCCAGACAGAATCGGCTGAATGCAAATGTGAACGATGAGCTTTTGCAGCAGATTGAGATTCTCAACAGAAAGCTGCAGAACAAGATCAGCTGTTATACTCAGGAGAAGGAGAAGAGACTTACAGCGGAGGCTAACTGCACGTTCTCCAAGAAACAAATTAGAGTTGGAACGGGGACTGGATCGCCAGCAAGATATGCTTGTGACCTCTGAGAAGAGATTACAGGAGCAGAAAAACGTTAATGTGGATTCTTAGCGGTGAGACAGACGAGTCCAGATTCTCCGGTGTCTCGAGGAAAGAGCTCATCCAGACCTTGGAAAGTCTGGAAGTGACAAATCTGCACCTGGAGACGACTCCGGAAAATCAAAACCCGGAAAACATCAAGATAGAAAAGAAATTCCTTGATAAGCTGGAGAATTTAAAACTGCAGCTGGAAGAAAAAAAAGGTGTTTTGTGAAGAACTGAAAAACAAATTTGACCAAGAACATCAGCTCAGACTGGGTTACGTCCAAGATCAGAAAAACGCTGAGCACAGAGACACCGTTAACGAGAGCTTCAAGAAGGAGATCAAAGATCTTAAGAGAAGGAATGAACGCCTCTCTGAGCAGCTGGAGGAAGTCAAAAGTGAGAAGAAACAAGCAGACAGGAAATTAACTGAGGAGCAAAATAACTTTCAACAGCAGGTCAAAGAGAAGAAGCTGATCTGCGGCAGTTTAGAAAAACGTTTCAATAAGGAAAACCAGCTTCGCCTGAGGAAGAGCTGAAGAAAAGTAAAGATCAGATTAGTGCCGTAAACAGGAATCTCAGGAAGTTCCAGAGTCTGGGGGCCACAGCAGCAAATGATCTGTCACCTTTGACCTTTAGCCTGGTGCGCTGCACAACCAGTAGGCTTTCATCACTGGACCTCAGGGACCTGCTGTGGGTGTAGGGACTAAGAAGATCACCAATGTGAGATGGTGCTTGTCCATGTAAGGCCCTATAGACCAGAACCAGGATCTTGAAATGAACCCTGAAGTTGACTGGCAGCCAGTGAAGCTGGAGGAGAAGCGGGGTGATGTGGGTGTGTTTGGAGGACTTGGTCAGAAGCCGAGCACAGGCGTTCTGAACCACCTGTAGACGGTTCAGGGAGGCTCTGCTCAGACACGTGAAAAGAGAGTTACAGTAGTCTAAGTGTGAGGAGATGAAGGTGTGGAGAACTGTCTCAAGTTCAGAGCGAGACAGAATGGGACTCAGCTTAGCAACGTTCCTGAGATGGAAGAAGGAAGAGCGAACAAGAGAACTGACATGAGAATCCAGGGTGAGAGCTGGGTCAAAGGTCACACCAAGATTCCTGACAGAAGGTTTGGTGTGGGAAGCAAGCTGACCAAGAGAGTCTCTGACTTTGGGAACCAGCTTGTCTGGGGCACAGATGAGGATCTCAGTCTTATCTTCATTCAGCTGAAGAAAGCTCCCACCATCCAGGTGTTGATAGAGTCTAAGCAGGTGTGTAACAGCTGCAGCTTAGACATCTCATGGGGCTTAAAGGAGATGTACAGTTGGATGTCATCTGCATAAAGATGGTAGGAGATTCCTTTGAAGGAGCTCAGGATGTGCTTAAGAGGAAGCAGATAGAGGAGGAAGAGCAGAGGCCCCAGCACAGGACCTTGTGGGACACCATGGGTAAGAGAGGTGGTGGAGGACTTAAACTTGGAGACGGCCACAGAAAAGGAGCGCTCAGAGAGACAAGAGGAGAACCACTCCAGAGCAGATCCTGATAGGCCTACCCAGTCTCTCAGCCTCTCCAGTAGCAGGTGATGGTCAACAGTGTCAAAGGCTGCAGTCAGGTCCAGCAGGACCAGAACAGAACAGTCCCCTGCATCACTGTGGGTCAGAAGGTCATCAGAGACCCCAAGAAGAGCTGTTTCAGTAGAATGAGCTCTACAAAAACCTGACTGGAAGCTATCATAGATGTTATGTTCATCAAGAGCAGCTGTGAGGTGTTTAGCCACAACCATTTCCAAGATCTTGGAGATGAACGGAAGTTTAGAGATGGGTCTGAAGCTGCTATGGAGAGAGGGGTCGAGACTCGTTTTTATAAGAAGCGGGTGGATTACAGCGTTCTTAAAGTAAGCAGGGACCTGACCAGAGACCAGAGAAGCATTAATTATAGAGAGCACGCTGGGACCGATGGACTGAGAAGCACTTTTAAACAAAGATGAGGGTAAGATGTGGAGGGGGCATGCAGAGGTCTTCATAGAGTTAACTAGTTTGGTTAACTCAGGCAAAGAAACAGGAGCAAAGCTATCTAGGATGATGGGCCTGGTTGGAGCCGGGAGAGGCGGCGATAAGGCTGAAGGAGAGATGCTAGATCTAACCTTATTGACTTTGTCCACCAAGAAAGACAGAAAGTTCTCACAGTCTGCAGCAGAGTGGATGGAGGCTGTAGGAGAGGCAGGAGAGACGATGCTGCTGATGGTGTTAAACAGCACCTTGGGGTTCATAAACGAGTGTTTAATGTCTCTGAGCAGCTCTAGAGTCAGATGTTTATGCCACAGCTGAAGGGTGTCAGAAATAACACCAAATGAAATGTTTGACTTAGTTTGTTATTTTATTTGAACCCAGTGGTTCGTTTCTGAAATGATGGAGGATGAATCAAGTTCTGTTTGATGCAGAAAATAATAAAACAAAACAAATTCTACACTTCCAATCATATTTAAGATGTGTGTTTTATTCTTTCTGATGATAACACCAGCAGAAGGCTGTGGGCTGGATTAGGATTAAATAACCCAGCTGATGGATCCCCTTCACTAACCAGCTAACTACAAACCTTTCCACTAACCTGTCCTGTGTCTCCCTCACCGTGTGACCCTCATGTCCATGCTGTCTCTGGAGGAGCAGATAGGAGACAAGACCTCCTGTAACCTAAAATGAACCAAAGTTTCCTCCCAGCTTCTCTTTAAGCTGAATTTAACATCAGTTTATCTTCATGAAACTAAAGAATAAAGTGGAACAAGAACTTTTATCTTCTATTTCTCTCCACTTTTAACTTCTCCGTGTCCCTAAATAAGAGACAGACGGTTACGCTGCAGCCGCCGTCACTGACCCCGCCCCCTCCACAAGACCGCTTCCAGGAGAAACAATGATGAAATTATGAAAATAATAACGCGTGTTTGGAGGAGCGTCCTCCCATCCTCTCTCGTGTGTGAGCAGTGTCTCTCTCTCCCTCTCTCAGTCGCTGATCGAGCGAGCGGAGTGCACGACAACCCGCTCAGTTAACATAATTCACGGCCCAAATCCAACAGAACCGGTCGGGCTGATTCGGTTCCGGTTCGGTCTCAGGTTACAACTCTAGCGCTCAGCCCTGCAGAACCACATTAAGGCGGAACCACTTGGTAAATGTGGAGGACGCTCACCCTGACAGATTTGGATGCTGCGCTGGTGTCGCCGTTAAAAAAACAAAACTACGTTCCACTATAATCGATTATGGCGTACTCTTCTACGATGCAGAATCGTCTATGTCCACATCCCGATGCCTCGATCATTTGATTATTTTCTTCAGCTCTAGTTCTGATCACGTGGACTTTGCACGCTGGATCTGGGCGCTGCTGGACAGAACTGCTGTAATGGAATTTAAAGCAGAACGGACTGCTTATATCGGAGGTTTTTGATGCGGTCCGATCTAATCCGATAGTTTATTTGGGCTGATATCCGATACCAATATCGGAACGGGACATCCCTAGTTACAAGCACCTGTCTGAGTGTGGTTTTTAGGAAATAATCACATAATAATCACAGCCTCCCTTCATTTCACTACCAGAATGATATAAAAATGACCCGAGACATTAATAAAAATTATTATTTTAGCCAACAGCTCGGAGCTTCGCATTTTCTTTGGATTTAACTTCCTTCGTTTGTTTGTTTTACTCATTTCCTCAAATGCATAGATTTTAATAAGATGAATGTAAAAGGCATCATAGCTGCGCTTTTTAAACAAAGCCACGACTCTTCCGACTGAAGGACTTACCTCCGCCTGCTGGTTCTGGGTCGCAGCTCTCCTTTTCTTGAAGGAAGCAGAAATGAAGCTCCCTGCTCAGTTCCACCACCGGCTGGTCAGGAAGGAAGTCCAAACAGTCCAGAGCTGCACAGAGCCACTTGTCATCCCTGAGAACGACAAATAAACACAAACACTTACAAGAAAATCTCATTCATCTGCAAAGTAAAGCAGCTGGGATCCATGCTGTCGCCACAGGTTCCAGTTCTCAGACCCACTGGGAGCTCCTGAAGGCCTGGAGGATCTTTCTGTCCAGGTGGTTGCTGCTGTAGATCAGGTCTGGGTTTCCATGAGCCACCAGGTTGGCTGTAGCAGGAGGAGGAGGAGAAGGAGAGGAGGAGGTCTGGCTGCACTGGAGCACTCCTTCCAGCAGGGGGAGCTCTATAATGTTTAACAGCCGGAGAAGAGTCTGCTCCTGCCACACTTCATCCACCACTGAGAAAGAAAAACAGACACAAATCGTGTCCTGCATCAGAGGCAGTGAAGCTACGCTGCAGGGGATTCTGGGTAAATTTGGGAGTGGATCACTCCGAGCTCTGAAGGTTTTGGTGCAGCAAAAACAAAAAGCATCAAAACAATCAACATTTGAACGTCAACTTCTCAGAATCTGAATCCAGTTTCATCCATCTGATCATTTCAGAGCAACAGCTTCAGGTAGAAAAGACCAGTTTGCAGGTTTTGAGGCGTACCTGACTGAGGTAACGCGGCGTGCGTCTGAACCCTGCCAGCTGCAGGCTCCGCCTTCAGACTAGCCTCCAGCTGGCTGCTCTTCATCGGGAGAGATATGGACGTGTCCACCTGAGACTCGGAGGAACAGGCCTCCTGCCTGAGAGATGAGATCAGACGAAGCAGATTCACAGTTTTCAGAATCTCCAGTTAGTGAATGCATGAAATATCAAAGTCATTTTCATTTCTACATTTCCAACATTTTGATGTTTTTTGTAATGTTTCGTTGCATTTTTGCCGCTTTTCCTCCACTTCCATCCAGTTCTTTTGCCTGATCATCTTCAGATGTTCTCTTTTGCTCATTTGAAGCCATTTAAACCCAATATGTGATTCAGTCTGGAGTTAAAACAGGCAAAAACTACGTCGAGCCAACTTATAAGAGACAGCAAGACACGGTTAAATGGAACCCTGACAGATGTTTCTCAGAAATAAACTGGGCTGCAGGTTGCATCTTCAAACCCCAGCTGTTGGAGTTAGCATGCTCTCCCCATACATGTCTGGGTTTCCCTTGGGTACTCTGGTTTCCTCCCACTGACCAAAAACATGCATGGTACTAGGGATGTAAGAAAATATCGATATGGCAATATATTGTGATATTTTTTCTAGCAATATTATATCGATATTCAAAAGCCGTGTATCGGAAATATCGATATGGCAATATATTGTGATACAGTAATCCCTCGCTACTTCGCGGTTCGTTCATCGCGGATCTTTTCTTTGGAGCATTTTTCAGGGGGAATTCGCAGATTTGCGGTATTTTTCACTGATTCGCGGTATTTTTCTATGCGAAATATCAAGAAATTCTTGTTTTTTTTTTTCATCAAAAAATGCACTTTTTGTAATGAAACTAAAAAAACCAAGTAAAAAAAATTTTTTCTTGAGTTTTACCCACAAAAAGAGAATGTGATCATACGATAATTCAATATAGTACTGTATGCCAGACAGGTCGGCTGGATTCGGGAGCTGAGCTTGTAGGGAGCGTGGTTTCACAGACGCGGAAGTGATAGCGTCGGTGAAACGCCAGCTGATCTAGGAAACCCCCGAGCGTTCGAGCGTCAACGAAGTGACACGGAAATGCCGGGCTTTCCAGAAGTAAGATAACTTACTATGAGCTGATAGTTCGTTGGATTGATCGGTAGGTTGGAAAATCTGATCATGAATCTGAAGAAACGATGACTGAGTGGTGAGCTGGATAGGCGACTTCCGTTTGGTTTATAGCCGCGGTTTGTGACGTAGGTGCGACGTGGAGGGAATCCCCGCGAGGGGCATGCTGGGAGTCCCTACTTCGCAGATTTTCACCTATCGCGGCCAGGTCTGGAACGCATCTACCGCGATAAACAAGGGATTACTGTATTTTTTCCAGCAATATTATATCGATATTCAAAAGCCGCGTATCGGAAATATCGATATGGCAATATATAGTTATTTTTTCCTGCGATTTTTACATCGATATTCAAGAGCCGTGTATCTAAATCCTGAAAGAATTTACATGCAAACATTTGTGTATTTTCTTTTCGTTTTCTGCAATTCAATCGCCACCCGCTAGTTGTCAGCAGTGTGCAATGGGTTTTGTTTCCACCATTGAAATGTAAATCCCTCCATCATGGTTCAGATACCTCATGTTAAACATGTCACGTATCAGTTTGGCCTGTTTATTAAACATTCTTACAATAAATTCAGTAAAGAAAAATTGCTTGTAATATCTGACTGAATGTTTCGTAATATATCGTGATATATCGTATCGTCTCCCCTGTATCGTGATATGTATCGTATCGCCAGAATTTCAAAACTGCACATCCCTGCATGGTACTTTAAACTGCTTTGGATTAAAGGGTCCACTACATTAATAAACATGAAAAAGAACAATTTGTACCATAAAAAATATGAAGGAAAACTCCTGCAAATGTCCAAGTTGAGGAAAATATAATATTTCTAATTACTGACTCATTGGATTTCATTATTATTACATACTTGTCAGAAGAAGCGCTCCAAAAGAATTCCTGGATCCCGTTGACAAGCACGCCTCTTTCCAACTCATCAACTGAAGGCGTGAGCAATCCTACAAATCTGTGTGGAAACAAAAGCGTCAGCATGGCAGCAGATATTAGATCATCTTATTCATGCACATTTCTGACCTGTAGAGAGCACTCTTACTATCCTGGAATACGTCCGGCTTCGCGTTTTTGCCAAACAGTTTGGTTCCCACCGCCTGGAACACGTTACACTCCAGCAGGGCCTGGCAGACACACACCACTTTGTCCCGCGACACATTCGCTCCTTCCATAAAACAAGAGGGTCAGACTTTGCAGGCATCAAATACAAGGAGAAATATCCCAGGGTTTGCCCCAGCGCTTTATAAGCCTGGCAGGCCACCAGGCTTTGCTTGCCCACCCAGCAGGCTAATGGGCCATTCCCATCTGTACCGGGTCGGCCCAGGCCGGGTAGCCCCAGTCGGCCCCAGCCTGGCCCCGTTGATTCCACACATGCTTGCCTTAAGCCCATGTGGGCTGGTTCTACCCACCAATCAGAGGCTTGCTCTAGTGGAAGGTGTGAATTTGCTGTCAGCAGTGGGTGTGTTGGCCCTGGTCGGCCTGAAGCAGACCCCCTCGAGAAGAGGGCTGAGAATGAGCCTTGGTTGGCCCGGAAAAATACCGGGCCACCCAGATATGTAAACAACCTACGCTACCCGGCCCGGGCCGACCCGGTACAGATGGGAATGGCCCATTAACGCCATGCCCCGCCCCCCTCCCCGACCCTACCGTGTCCGCTGACACGAACGGCACAACGAAACTAGAGCCCTCCATCAGCTGATACTGGTGAGAAACAGCAGCGGAACGGGTGCAACCACCCCACCCCCCTCTCTCATGGAGGAGCGCAGCGGGACGGGGCGTGCGAGTGGACTCAGTGGTCTCCTTTAAGAAGCAGCTGAAAACTCACCTGTTCAGGCTGGTTTTTCTGTGACCTTCATCATCCTCTCCTTGTTCTGCTCTCCCCACTTATTCCACCTTCCTCAGGATCCACTGATTTCCCTCTTTCCTATTCACTCTCTCTCTCTTTTTACATTTTTTTAATCACAAATGTATTTTTTGCTCATTTTAAATATATTTTAAATTATTTTCTAAATTCTTTTTTATATTTTTACATTTTTTGTTTTTGTGAAGCGCCTCGTGATTTTTATCTTGAGAGGCGCTACAGAAATGATACTTTCTTCTTATATTTTCTACATTTAAACCATTTCAAACTAGGGATGCACCGACAAAATTTTTGGGCCGATACCGATATTAAAGAGCAAGTCAGCCCCAATCAACTTTTTATTGCTGACAAACTATACAAACGAGTGTCTAATCATGCTGTGGACATGTGCAGTCGATAAACTGGCACTTTAGTGCATCTTAGTTTAAATTTAAATATTCTGCCTAAAACTGTCAGTGTTGCGCCCTCTTCAGGTAAAAACTCAGCACTGCATTTGATTTTAAATCTGCCATTGTTATTGGCTAACAGGACCACCATGATGTTAGCTGGTACATTATGATGTCACAATGTTGTTGTGAGCCTGTGTGTGTGTATTTGTTAGCAACTCCGCCCTCTCGGTCTGCCAGGCAACAGCATTTGTTGCATTTTTCAAACAGGAAGTGGGAGAGGAGTAAGACTCTGGCAGGGTGTGACTTGCCCTTTAAATCACCGTCATGGCCGATAACCGATATTTGCTGACATTAATGCTTCTAAAAGCAACAGATTTTGTATAGAATGAAAATTATTACAGCTGAATTTACGTTAAGGACACACAACACACACAGTTACACCTCTGGGATGATTACAATCACTGTCACATGACTAAACAAATACACATCACCCCCTCACCCTCTGAAACTGATAAACAAATGGAAAAAATAGTAATTGTTAATATCGGCCAAGTTTTATTTATTGGACCGATACCGATATATAGAAAAAATGACTAACATCTGCCGATACCGATAATGATGCAGATATATTGTGCATCTCTATTTCAAACTATTTTTTAAAAGTAAGTTTTTAGAAAACACATTTTGATTTTCAGAGCATCCTATCAGTCAGAGGGCTGAACAGAAACAATTAGAAACCAAAATAAAACTTTAAAATTCAGAACCAACCCTCGAGGCCTTCGGCGTTAGCTATGTGTTCCGCCAGCGCATCCACGGCCTCGTTGCCCAGGAAACAGTCGTTGTAGGACTTGAGGATGACTAATCTGCGTTTCACCGTCACGCTGGACCTGAGATGGGAGATGAGGCGGCTCCATATGGAGGAAGACTGAACGGGCTTGGTGGCTCCTCCAGAAGCTGCACAGACCTTCAGGTTGGGGTTTGGGTCCAAACCTTACAGAACATGAGCCAAAGTACTCTCAGGTCAAGGTTATTTTTTTATTAAGAATTTCACAATTGTATTTATTGTTTTTAATAACAGATCAGGATCAAATGAGTGTGAATAAATAGGAGTCCATCAGCAGCAACAAGAACAGGATCTGGATCGTGCTTGATGGATTTAGTCTAATTTAGGAAGTTTAGTTTAATAAGAACGACGCACATGCAAATACAAATGCAGGCACGTGAATGACCATCAGATGCATGTAAATGTACAGAATCATCAACAAAGGCTTGGGCAGATTTTAAAAGTCACTCTAAAAATAAAACTAAACCATTAAAATACAACACAAGCTCTAAGATTAAGAAAATAAATCTCTGCCCTAAACAGTTTGCAAATGTACCCTGCATACTGCAACCAGAAATATACCAGAAGCACAGTGAATAGGAATAAGACTAATTAATGACACGCGTAAATAACAAAGTATTCAGGAAAGTATGAATAGCGGATTCCTCATAAATACCAACAGTCTCAGGGTCCAGATGGTACGCCTATAATTTCTGTAATTGATATTTGAGCCACCTGAGGGTGTCTAGTTGTCAAATAGAGTGCCAGTCTACTGCAGCCTTTAAAGAAAAATCACACTGACCCAAACAACTTTTCCTGAATAGAACAGAACCCCCACCTGACCATGCACTTGCTGTTTTTCATTTGTTTTTACCCTGACGGACCAACCGAGGAGAAGTCTGACCACATAAAACCTTGTAAAAATGACAGGAACTTGCATATATCAGCACATTCAATTCAATTCAAAAATACTTCATTGATCCCAGAGGGAAACTGATTTAATTAACATTCTCCCAGCTCAAGCCGCCTCTGCTTGAACAATGATGATAATAATGTACAGATTTTTCTGCTTTTCAGCCACGCGTTTCTGTTCTGGGCCTCGGAAACAAACAATCACCTGACAACGAGGCTCAGGTGCTGAAGCGGAGGTCTTTGAATTGACTCACCCTGAGGACGCACACACAGTTTCTCTGCCAGGTTTAAGGCTGCTGCTCTTTCTTTTATTGAAGACATATTTCTGTTGGACTAGCAGGCTGCGGGAGACGCGAACAACCGAGTACGTTCGCTCAGTATCACGCAAACTGCTTTCCTTAGGGCGCAGTTCTTATATTTGGCCGCTAGGTGGCGAAAACGGCCACATCGTGCTCAGAAGAAGGAAACGAACTAGCTAGTTGAGTTAGCATTTAGCCTGTTGGGCTAGCCGAAATCCAGCTGTGCGACAAATTTGTGAGAAAGTAAAACAGATTTAATTTCTTTCTTTTCTTTGCTCATTCGCACAACACTTATTATTTTTTATTAGCACGTGAGGTTATAACTTTTAATGGGGAAATATTAGGATAAAAACGTAAAAGCTAATTTTAAGATAATTGCTCATTTTAGCTCATTTGTTTTAAAACAAAATTAAGAAGGCCTTATTAATAATTAAGTATTTTTATTGTTAAGTAAAAGTCCACAAAAGTATTTTTTTTTTGTCTTTGAGGACATTTTGGTTAGAAATACCAGCGACGGGAACACAACTGGTGAGTTGTTTTATGTATTTTTGATTATTTGTTTCTCCCAAAGAAAAGCTCAAACAACACAAACCAGAGTTTCCAGAGAAAACTTTTGCTGGGGAGATGCAAACTCCACACAGAGAAGCTGCAGCTGGGATTCAAACCCACAACCTTTTTGCTGTCGTGGAACACTTCTACCAACTGCACCACCACCCATGGATCTCATTAGTAATAGTGTCTGACCCTTTTGCACAGTTTTAACCTTACCCCTGAATACTTTTATGTTTTTGTCTTTTAACAAGTATTAAATCATGCGTTAAATCATTATGGACCTTGTCTTTAAGAGGCCAAACCAGGAGCAGCTATTGCAAACTGTCTTGAATAGAAATCCATAATTCATGTTTCCCTGTTTAATAAATGTCTAAATAAAAGAAAGAAAGTGACAACAATGACTAGAATTCAGCTAAAGGTTTCCTAATATCTGATTTAATTCTACAGAAACATTAGTATACAATTTTAAGTTTCAACATTGAATGCATAAAAATTAACTCACTAAATAGTCATTTTTTCGTATTAATACCTCTCTAATTTACCTTTAGCCACCTCAGTAATGCCACCCATTCATCCATTCTCTTCCACTTAGCTGGGGTCGGGCGGCAGGGGCAGCAGCCTAAGCAGACCTAGTCCCTCCAGCACGTCCAGGGTCTTCCTTTATCTTCCTGGTTGGACGTGCCCAGAAAACCTCACCAGGCAGACATCCTAACTCGATGCCTGAGCCACCTCCACTGGCTCCTCTTGATGCATTCACCGTAATGATTTTGATACAGCAGATTGTGTTTAATTGCGTCAAACCAAGCTACGCGATGACGACGTTATATCCCATGTGAGCCAAATCTCACTGTCCTCACAGATAGCTGAATTGAATTAATCAGACCCAGACAACAAGAAAGAGTATACCCAACAAGGACCCCACCCCACCCCCACTCCCTACTCGCATATAAAAGATAAACTGCTTTTGCAGCAGTAGAAGAAGAAAGTATCATTTCTAAAGCGCCTCTCAAGATAAAAATCACGAGGCGCTTCACAAAAGCAAAACATGTAAAAATATAAAAAAGCATTTAGAAAATGATTAAAAATATATTTAAAATGAGCAAAAATATGCAACTGTGATTAAAAAAATAATGTTAAGAAAGAGAGAGAGTGAACAGGAAGGAGGGAAATCAGTGGATCCTGAGGAAGGTGGAATAGGTGGGGAGAGCAGAATAAAGAGAGAGAGGTGAAGAAGGTCATACAAAAGCCAGCTTGAACAGGTGAGTCTTCAGCTGCTTTTTAAAGGAGACCACTGAGTCCACTGATCTCAGGCTCAGGGGGAGAGAGGTCCAGAGTCTGGGGGCCACAGCAGCAGATGATCTGTCACCTTTGACCTTTAGCCTGGTGCTGCACAACCAGTAGGCTTTGGTCACTGGACCTCAGGGACCTGCTGGGGGTGTAGGGACTCCCCCCTGCTTTCCACGGGAGCCGTCAGCAGCACGTTACTGCAGCAGCACGTCATAGCTGCTGATAGGAACCGCTGTGGTCAACAGAACCTTTTCCACTGGAGCCGTCAGCAGAGCGAGTCGGCCGCGTCTCAGGAGCAGCATGTCGCGGCCTTTACGCGCCGGTTCTATTTTCTACGCGCGACGCCTCTGAAACGGGTCAAGTTTGACATTTTTGGGGAAGGAAAGACCGGAAATCGGACGCGGAAATGGAGAGAAGCTCCCGAGATTTTCAGAATAAAGAAACGTACTGCCTTCCGGTTGCTTTACTTTTTAAAATGTGCGGCCCCGTGAGAAGTTATCACCTAGCTAGCGGTCTCCTTTGTTTTTCAGGTCCGTATTGGCGATTATAAAACGGACAGAACATAAAACACAAACCTTTTGGAGCCATGTTGTAGTTTTCTCCTGCTTGTTGTTGTGTTTACTGACGAAGTCACTCGTGTTCGTACTTGTGTTCGTACTGCCGCCTACAGGTCTGGCATGTCCGTCAACGTATTTATCCGGGTACGTGTGGACAGTTTTTTTTGTAAACAAGGTGGTGTGGATGCAGGTTTTTGGAGGGGCGGATATTCGTTTTAAAAAAAAACCCGGCTACATGTGGACTAGGCCTAAGAAGATCACCAATTGTCCATGTAAGGCCCTATAGACCAGAACCAGGATCTTGAAATGAACCCTGAAGTTGACTGGCAGCCAGTGAAGCTGGAGGAGAAGCGGGGTGATGTGGGTGTGTTTGGAGGACTTGGTCCAGTAGCTCAGGAGGTAGAGCGGGTTCTCCAGTATCAAAAGGTTCCTGGTTCGATCTCAACTCCCACCAGAAATTGCTGCTGTTATGTCTTGCCCAAAGACACTTAACCCGCCTTATCAGCTGGTGGTGGTCGGGAGGACCGGTGGGGCCAGTGTTCAGCCATCTTGCTTCCCTCAGTGTGCCCCAGGGCAGCTGTGGCTACGTTGCAACTCATCACCACCAGTGTGTTGGGTGACTGATTGTGTTGTGAAGCACCTTGGGGGGTTGTAGAACCCTAAGGCGCTGTAAAAATATAGGCCATTTATTGTTCTATTTTTCCATGATCCAGATGAAACTAGATCCTATTTTGGAACCAAAACCAGAACAATCTGTGTTGCTTGTTATTTTTATTAGAATATTACGTCGTTGTTTTGTGGCTGAGTAAATAAAAATGCACATTTTTAATTTACTAAAATATTGTGGCCTTGTGCGTAGTTTTTTGTATTTCGCAAATGCAGTTTTGCACTTTTATTACTAGATTTCATAGCAAGAAACGATTCTTCTTTCAACGTGACCCAGCATAAAAGCTTTTTTTTTAAAGATATTTTGCAATACATTCACACAAGATAGTAATACAACTTCACTCGTACTACTACGTTTCATATCTTGGTGCATTTGAGAGCAGCACGTAACAAAACCCACTCCGAGTCATTGTGCTCCATTTATAGAAATGTTCCAGTTTAATGGCGGCACTTTTGGGGCATATTGGCTAATATCTACCCAAGTGGACCACAAAAGAGCAAAGAAAGACATCAAATCCATTAGTCACACTCTCACACTCACACACACTCACACACAATCATCAGAGGTGTTTGAAACTGTAACACACATTTATCCTCTTCCTCCTTGCCTGGGGGGGCTCACGGTTTCTTTTTATGTTAGTGTCCCGTTCTGTCAGGGATCATTTAATTCTCCAACATGATTGATGCAAGTGCAATTTAGATGTGAGTAACAGAAAGAAGTCTCTCCTATTAGAAGATCAGTGGCTAGTGGAGACCTCCTACTTAAATAGTAATGCTTTCCATCGTGTGTGTGTGAGTGTGTGCGTCACTCTCTGCCTCGAGGTGAAAGGGACAGTTTCAGAGAAACGTCCACAGGTCAAATGAAATAACCTAGATAATTTAGAAAGCATTGACAGTGCAATTTGTCCCCTGGACGTTATTACTCTGACCCCTATTAGTGTCAGTGGGCAGGTTCATTTTACCCCGACGGCTTATCATCGTGCTACCTTCTAAGGAAGGAACTCTCTAATGGTCATTTCAGAAGAATTAGCTTAGATTACGGTGATTGAGAAGCCTTATGAGGCTTTAATGTTCGTTCCAATGAAATCATCTGGGAGTAAAAATTGCAGATAAAGATAAAATAATGAACCAGCGAGTGAAAAAGCCTTTTCTATTAACCTTGTTCAGCTAAACGTTTTTTTAATCTCAGTTAACAGGCGGAGGAGGCCCGGTCAGACCTTTTGTTTGCCCTGAAACAACTCCATGGATCCTAACACCACCTCTGGGACGCTCTCCTCTCACACGGCGGTGAGTTACTGCTCCTCTCTTCCAAACTACGTTCGTCAAAGACGGATTGTAATTTTGAGGAAACAGAATGATTTAACCCAAACTCTGATTATTCTCCATGTTTTAGAGGTTACACTGTTTGACCACACCCAGAATAAACGTACAGGTCACTGATGGTTTTCCGCTGAGGTTGATGATTCACCCAGTGAATCAGGAAGATGACTAATACATACTGGTTGGCAGCCCCTCACCATTAGGGTTTCAGAAAAGTTTGGCCTCTTCTGATTTAGTTTGAAGAGGATGTGGCGGAGCAGGAGACGTCTCTGTCCGGATCTCAAAGAGAAACCGAAGCTGGAGGAAACATCTTGTTACAGCTGCTGGAGTTTAAAACTCACCTTCACGAGGCTGTCGAGGAGCTGCACATCCGAAGGGTAATTTAGCTCCTGTGATCGCTGCTGTTGTGCTTTTATTTTAACGGTGTCCTAGAATAGAATTCAAACCACGTTTATCTTGTTGCGTAAAAGCAGCTTGAGGTGTGTAACGTACCAAAACTCTGTGCCGTCTTGATCTCAGCTGTGATAGCGGCCCTCGAGGACTGGGATTGCCCGCCCCTGTTGTAACAGCCCCCCACCCCCCCCTCCCCCCCCAATAATTATGGTTTATGAAGTATTTTACTACTGCAAATGTATTAAGTAAATGGGTGAACCACATCTTTAAAGGAGCATTATGGAAGTGTGACAGCCAAAACATGTATAGAAATAATAAATGTCTTCTTCATACATTCTCCTGCAATGCCCTGGTCCTGTAGAATGAGCCCTGGCATTTTTACTGTGATTGCCTGTTTTTCTGTAAAATCACAGAAAAAGAGAGATGCTCGGGTCGAGCAGGCTGCTTCATGCGCGTTCACGCTCAGGCATCGCCCGTAGCATTTGCTATCCGTAGCTTTAGCAGCAGAGAGAGAGGCAGTGCCACTTTGTCGCTGTTCCTAACGCCTAGTGACAAAGCTAGCTACATTTCTGAGGACCCTTAGCTACTTTCTGTACAACTTTCTTCTAGATATTTCCTGCAAATTAGCAACAAAATAGCCATTTTCACTCCGAACCGTTCTTTGAACGTTGTTTCAGCTGTCATCAAGGATATAAATGTTACAGAAAGGACATCACTGGTGCTTTAGCTCACCTAGTAAGACGTCTGACTCTCGTGCAGAAGACCTGGGTTTGATTCTGGGTGTGAACATAGCTCATTTAGAGTTTCTTTTTTACATTAATGGTATATTTTTTTACAGTAAGATGCCCAAATTTTTATTTGAGACTCGCCGAACGGCATTGAATTCACAGATAAAAAAGATGTGGGTTCAACTTTCATTTTGGAACAATTTTTCAAGCAAGGGAAGGGAATGATCTGAGCATGCAGGAGGACTGACCCATCATAAACCTTTGTCGGCTGTGCTGAAGAGAAAGGTACAGAACCAAATTATTTCATTAATTAGCTGCGCGTTCTCTTGTCCTCTGTCCTCCGGGCCACACACACACACAAGGGACTGTCTCAGCTGTTATTTGTGCACGTACAGCATGCGCGCCTCGTGCACGAGCCTACTATTGAAGCTGCCGTTACGCTTTTGGCCTGAGGGGGCAATCGCGAGCATAAAAATTCAAAAGTTCGTAAAGTCCCTTTAAGAATAATGAAGCATATTTTTGATCTGTGGGAGTAACCCCCTACAGGGGCAGCAGTAGCCCAACAGGTTGAGCGGGTTGTCCAGTAATCGGAAGGTTGCAGGTTCGATCCCGGCTCCGGACAGAGAGCTTGTCTTGGGCAAGACACGACCCACCTTGCCTGCTGGTGGTGGTCGGAGGGACCAGTGGCGCCTGTGGTCGTCAGCCTCGCCTCTGTCAGTGCGCCCCAGGGCAGCTGTGGCTACACCGTAGCTCATCACCATCAGCGTGTGAATGTGTGTGTGAATGGGTGAATGATACACTGTAGTGTAAAGCGCCTTGGAGTTCTTACTCTGAGAGGCGCTATACGAGTGTGGGTCATTTATCATTTGCATGCACGAGGAGAAAATGCCAACTCCATGCACAAAAACTGCTTCCAGGATTTGAACCTGCAACCTTCACCATGCAGCGCCATTCTATCACGGAGCTGCATTATTTCATCAAGATATCGAGGGAGTCCGAATTCTTCTGAACATTTAAGACCGAGGCCACATTTAGCCTTTCACCACTGAAAACAACAATTTGTCTGAAACAAAAGGAAATAAAGCTTTTCTTCCCGCCGGCAAACAGTCTCAACACGAGAGTACTTAAAGCTTACGGAGGCACAAATGGGATGTTTGTGGTTTGCTGCCATTTTGATTTTACTGTTATTACGGTGTTAACCGGGACACAAACATCAGGCGGTGTAACTGATCCTCCTCGGGCCAAACGGAGCTGTTTACAGGGTGTGTGTGTGTGTTTGGGGGGGTAAGAGGATGTGGTGATGCCGCCGGACATTCCTGAGCAGGTCAAACGCCACCGAGCTTTTTGTTTCTGACACAATGCTGCTTTAGACGGCGAGATTGAGATTAGCCGGACTCCAAACAGAAACGCGGCGCGCGGCGTTTAGCCCCATCAGGAAAAACATCTGAACATTCGAGATCTTATCAGAGAAACTCGAGGAGAAACCCCAAGAAGTTTTCCAGCTAAGCTATTAAAGCCATCACGTTTTAGTGCTCACGTCCAGCAGATACTTTTATTATCTCACCGTTTTTATTGCCCACTAAAAGGCAGCCATTCATACCAGCAATTTAACAATAGAGAGATTTATGATGGCGTGCGTTTGATCTTTTTAAAACGATGCTGTTGTTTTTGTTTATAACGTCGTCTGGGTGGGAAACTCTTTAAATAAAAGACTTTAAAAGTCAGTTTAAATAAATTAAATAAATTTTTTCACACGACTCAAACTGTTTGGCCAGAGTAAAACGAGTTCAAGCTTCCATGGATCACCAAGCTTTAATAAAGCAGTAATTACTGTCCAGTCCAAAAATATAACAGCTTTATGTTCTGCGCTGTTCTTTTTTGTTTTTAATGCAGCGGCATACTTTAATAGGAACTTATAAAATAAGCTCGGGGGTCCACCAGCTCCCACGTGCACATAAAATAAGTACGATGTGTATGGAGAGCTATTGACTTTTACCTGCCTTCTCCACGGGAAGAAGGGAGGATAGGGATGACGCTCCACAGATATCACCTCCCTTCTAATGTTCCTCTTACATTGGCTGCTTCCACAAAACAATCCGGTGGACTGCTCCAGGGAAACTTGCAGCAGTTTGCAGCCGCGGCTCAACTTTTGGGTCGTTATTAGTCCAAAGATGTGAAAACATTCAGTTTGTGTCATAAATCCTCAGAGCTGTCGTCTCATTTACTTTCACTCAGTAAACTCTCACCTCCGTTGGTTTTGAGGCAGGTTTAAAGGGACATTATGGAAGTTTGACAGCCAAAACATGTATAGAAATAATAAATGTCTTCTTCATACATTCTCCTGCAATGCCCTGGTCCTGTAGAATGAGCCCTGGCATTTTTACTGTGATTGCCTGTTTTTCTGTAAAATGACAGAAAAAGAGAGATGCTCGGGTCGAGCAGGCTGCTTCATGCGCGTTCACGCTCAGGCATCGCCCGTAGCATTTGCTATCCGTAGCTTTAGCAGCAGAGAGAGAGGCAGTGCCACTTTGTCGCTGTTCCTAACGCCTAGTGACAAAGCTAGCTACATTTCTGAGGACCCTTAGCTACTTTCTGTACAACTTTCTTCTAGATATTTCCTGCAAATTAGCAACAAAATAGCCATTTTCACTCCGAACCGTTCTTTGGTTTGACGTTGTTTCAGCTGTCATCAAGGATATAAATGTTACAGATACTGTGAATGTTACTAGAGTGTAGCTCACCTTGTAAGCTGTTTAACTCTCATGCAGAAGACCTGGGTTTGATTCTGGATGTGAACATAGTTTATTTAGAGTTTATTTTTTACATTAATGGTATTTTTTTACAGTAAGACGCCCAAATTTTTATTTGAGACTCGCCGAACGGCATTGAATTCACAGATAAAAAGATGTGGGTTCAACTTTCATTTTGGAACAATTTTTCAAGCAAGGGAAGGGAATGATCTGAGCATGCAGGAGGACTGACCCATCATAAACCTTTGTTGGCTGTGCTGAAGAGAAAGGTACAGAACCACATTATTTAATTAATTAGCTGCGCGTTCTCCTGTCCTCCGGGCCACACACACACACACACACACATGGGACTGTCTCAGCTGTTATTTTCATTAAGGAGTGTGCACGTACAGCATGCGCGCCTCGTGCACGAGCCTACCATTGAAGCTGCCATTACGCTTTTGGCCTGAGGGGGCAATCGCGAGCATAAAAATTCAAAACTCCATAAAGTCCCTTTAATAACGTTTTTGGCTTTTTTTGTTGATTAGGATGCAGAAACTCGCTTTGAGCATCAGATCAGTCAGCTGGTGGTGGAGAAACAGGAGCTGGAGTGGGAGAAGGTTTTCACACCAGCACATTTCAGATTAAAACAAGCCGACACAAGGAACACCATCAGATTATTATTTTCTGTCTTCTACAACAGGAATCCTTAGAACAGCAAATAGAAACCATGATGAACCAGCACACAGAGTCCCTCGCTGCAGCCAATAAACAGGTTTGTTCATTCGATTTTTAAACTGAAAACGATTCTTAACATTTTATTGGATGATGCGTTTTTCTGCTGTGCAGTTTCAGGTCAAATTACAGCACATAGAGGAGGAGAAGGTATGAAGAGTTTTACTTCCAAAAACACTCGGCGGGTTTGATTCAGTTCATGTTAAAACGGGGTAGTAAATTTCCTGTTGTCAGCCGTACGGTCTTGGCCCTCAGAGTGGATTCTTCTGTGCTGCATTTTGGTATTTATTACTCTTTTTTGACACTCACAATAATAATATCCTATTTCAGGGGAAATACCAGGTCACTGCTGAGTTAAAAGACAGGGAGATTAGCAATCTGAAGGAGGAGCTGAAGTCACTGCAGGTACTGAGACGCACAACTGAGCTGCGTGCTTATCCTTATTTATTTAGTATTTGAATAAATGTATCATCAGTAAACAACCAAAGGAGACCAATAAGGGAAGAAAAGTCATGTTTGATCAGAGGAACGGAGACATGTCTTCAGGCTGGACGCCGTGGAGGTGAAATACAGCCGTCCTCGTGCTCGAGCGCACTTTAAACCCCCGGTTACGTTACAGAGATGCTTTCTGTGGCGTCTGGTTTAAATGACAACACTTACCTTCAGTCTGGGGCTTTCGTTTAACACCTCAGATATGTGAGGGTGCTTCAGCTATTACTACACAGTTCAGTCTAAACCACAGTTTGATTTTAATAAACAGGATTTTGATGTGGTCCTGTTGGCTTCATCAGAACGTGATCTTCAGCTTTCGCTGGAGCGGTTCGCAGCCGAGTGTGAAGCAGCTGGGATGAGAATCAGCTCCTCTAAATCCGAGACCATGGTCTTGATTTGGAAAAAGGTGGAATGCCTTCTCTGGGTCAGGGATGAGGTCCTGCCCCAAGTGGAGGAGTTTAAGTTTCTCTGGGTCTTGTTCACGAGTGAAGGAAAACTGGAGTGTGAGATCGATAGGCGGATTGGTGCTGCGTCTGCAGTGATGCGGGCGTTGTACCGGTCTGTCGTGGTGAAGAGAGAGCTGAGTCAGAAGGCAAAGCTCTCGATTTACCGGTCGATCTACGTTCCTACCCTCACCTATGGTCATGAGCTTTGGGTAGTGACCGAAAGAACGAGACTGCTGATACAAGCGGCCAAAATGAGTTTTTTCCAAAGAGTGGCTGGGCTCTCCCTTAGAGATAGGGTGAGAAGCTCGGTTATTCAGGAGGGGCTCGTAGTAGACCCGCTGCTCCTCCACATCGAGAGAAGCCAGTTGAGGTGACTCGGGCATCTGGTCAGGATGCCTCCTGGACGCCTCCCTGGTGAGGTTTTCTGGGCACGTCCAACCGGGAGGAGACCTAAAGGTAGACCCAGGACACGGTGGAGGGACTATGTCTCTCACCTGGCCAGGGAACGCCTTGGGATTCCCCCGGAGGAGCTGGCCCAAGTGGCTGGGGAGAGGGAAGTCTGGGCCTCCTGACTTAAGCTACTGCCCCCGCGACCCAACTCCGGATAAGCGGATGAAAATGGATGGATTTTAAATGAATCCTTTTTAATTCACACTCACTTAAAGCTACAATCCAGAGTTTTCTCCCATTAAAGCTTTATGTATGGCTTTAGAAGTCCAAAGAAGTGACATCATGTAGGCCAGAGGCAGACTGGCAGTTGGGAGCACCGGGAGATTTCCCAGTGGCTGCTAATCTGGCCAGCTCAGTGACCGCTGACGATCCTGAAGTGTGTGATATCTAAATGACCAATCCCTCATGCAGCTCATCGGGGCATCTGCTCTCCTGATGAAACTAAGCTAACTGGGCACAAAGACTGTACGGGTCTGGCAAAGTGCTGCAGAACACAAATATTTTTATTGTAGAGGAAATATCGCGTTCATGGGCGAGAGGCGTTGCTTTTCGTAAACGAGGAAGTGGAAACCACGGCTTGAGGTGTGATACATCTATCAGCCACTAGATGGTGCCATTTGATAAAAATACTCTGGGTTGTAGTTTTTAAACCAAAAATGGCCAGCTGCACAAGTCCTTCATCTTATTTTTTTGGGTTAGTTGTTTGTGGCTCTGTTGCCTCGCTGCGAGAAGGTTGCAGGTTCAGCACCTTTCTGTAAGGTTCCTTCGGTTTTCTCCCATAGACCAAAAACACGCGTGCTCGGTTAACCGGTGACTCTAACCCAATGCTTGTGTGTGTGTGTCTATTATGGGGTGCCATTTGTAATGTCAAACAGTCATAATCTAACAGCAATATTTTTGGTTATTTAGCATATCATAAGAGAAAAAATTGGGAGTTCACTTTTTTGAAGTCATATTTTCACCATGTTATTCAGACATTTATAAATGTTAAAATTTCCAAATAAATATTTAGTTAGCAAGCTAAATATGTAATTTGTAGTTAAATATTTATTTTTTAAGCTAAATATTTAGGTCTGATCTAAATATTTAGTTTGTAAAATAAATATTTAATTCACTAACTAAATATTTAATTTACTAATTAAATATTTATTTTGGAACTAAATATTTAATTCCTAAATACTGATTTTGCAAACTAAATGTTTAGCTCCAAAATAAATATTTAGCTGGGATCTAGAAATTTTTTCGGAAAATAAATATTTAATTTACAAATTAAATATTTAGTTCCAAAATAAATATTTATTTAGTAAATTAAATATTTAGTTAGTGAATTAAATGTTTATTTTACAAACTAAATATTTAGATCAGACCTAAATATTTGATTTGCAAAATAAATATTTAACTACAAATTAAATATTTAGCTTGCTAACTAAATATTTATTTGTAAACTTTAACATTTATAAATGTATGAATAACATGGTGAAAATATGACTTCGAAAAAGTGAACTCCCAATTTTTTCTCTTATGATATGCTAAATAACCAAAAATATTGCTGTTAGATTATGACTGTTTGACTTTACAAATGGCACCCCATATGTGTCACCCAAATGCAAATAAAAAATTTTTTTTTAAAATATTTTTTTCTTCATTATTTAAATTTCTGCTCATCTGTGTATCATCAGAGTTCAAATGAGAAGCAAAACATCTTCAAGAAACCAAAGAAGCCCAGTTTCCTTCATTTGAACCCTTTTGGATTAAATGGAGAGCTTCTTAAAAAACCAGCATGCGATGACTCAGTCCTGCATTTCCTGCTCCTGTAATGTCTTTTAATGCGTTTCAGGTGCAACATAAACTCAGTGAGAGTTGAGAAACTTGCCGTTTTGAGGTTGTAACCTTTCCATTTCTTTCGCTCTTGTTACACAGTTGCTGAAGTACAACTTGGAGAAGAAATCAAGTGAGCTGGTAAGGAGGGACTTTCCATTTATACAAACTGTTGACAGAGGGTTGGTGGGAGTGAGACGAATTAAACGAGGAGGACGAGGGACTGCTGCTAAGGAGGAAGAGCTCATCAGGAGTAACAGGCTGGGAGTGTGTGACACTTTGAACTGCCAGCACAGCAGAGAAAATATCTCTATTAAAATACTTTATAACTGGTCCTCGCTCAGTTTAACCTTCTTCACCGCAGAGTGAGAGGGAGTTTGATGATCGGAGAGAGGAACGGACAGGGAGTGAGAGGAAAAACGACAAAGGCACAAAAAAAAAGCCAAGCTTGATACCGACAATCAAACTATAACGGCAGTTTGAGGAGCAGTAAAGGGCGCTGAAGCGTGAGCCCGGTTGATTCTCAGACCTCTAAAAAAGTTGGTCTCTAGCTGAGTTGAACCTCTTTCCCACTTCCTCTCGTTGTGGTCTGTCCCGTTGCTTTAGGAAAACCTGCACCTGTAAACACAACACTTTTTATTTAGTTTCCTTTAAGCTGTGAATAGAAGCAATATTAAAGTAGTGTTTTCAGACCAGGTCCCCGGTCAGACAAAGGGAAACATAACTAATATTTATAATAATTTCTCAGGTAACCTCAAGTCCCCATAACTGAAAATGAAGCCAACAGGGAAGTGACCAAAATTGCAGTTCCACCCTCATCCACTAGGGGCTGGTGTCAACCATCCATCCATTCATTTTCTGGACTTAGACCATTAGTTGAGCCGTTTGTGTGTTCTTTTTGGATATTATTTGTGCAATTGTTGGACAAAATGACTTGCTGTGGTATTAATTGCACTAATAGAGCGTCCAAGGAGTCTCTTTAGGTAAGTAAAATTATATTTATGTATTTTAGGTCACTGCTGCTTTTGCGCTAGCTGAGCTTAGATTTTAACATGTGCTGTTTAACCATGAAATTTAAATGTAACAGGGTAAAACCCAGTGCATTTAACATAACACTGCACTTTAGAAAATGGGTTGAAATATAACATGTTGGTGGAGCTGGGTTCCGACATCGGTATGGTCTCCTCCCCTCAGCGCCATGGCCTGTCTTATTATCCTACATATTCAGATACATTTTTGCAGCATGCCACTTCTGTTAGTTCATCTTTTATGTGAGTGGATTTTTCTTTTTTCTGCCTGTTTTGCCAAGATAGCACAAAGTTTTGTTTTTTGGACCATGACACAGGAACAGAAGCTAGCCCTGCAGAGTCGGACAAAAGACACCCACCTGAGCCAGCTGGGGGAGGCAGAGAAACGGTTCGGTGCTCTTTCCAGATCATGTGCCGTGGTCAAAAAGGCTCATGAGAAACTAGAGCAGAATGGTAACAAAAGAAAAGGAAGTCCTTGACTAAATAATGTTTCAGGTAGCAGCTTTATCTGAATATGACCCGTTGTAGATCAGGTTTGCTTCTCGTAGAGCGAAAAATAAAGATTTCACTCAGATTTGTGAAATTACCGTTTGTCTCCTAGCTGACAGTTAGTGTTTTTGCCAGGTCACGTTAACAAGTGCTGTTAGCATCTGTCTGAATCAAAAGTTTAGTCTGTTTTCTACCGTCTACTCTGATATTTAACTGTAAATTAGATTCTAGACGTCTGACCTAATCTGTGTTATTCCTAAAGTTTTTGAGGCCATGAGAATAAACAACAAGCTGACTTCTGCCAATCATAAACAAGAAGAAACTATTGTGTCACTCAAGAAGGTTTGGATTTAAGTCTCGTTTTATTTTAACTGTTAAAAACTCAAACCTAGATTTGCTATTTTGTTAGTCCATAATCTCATTAATCTGAGGGAATAATCCTTTTCTTTATGGGGCTTTTTTCAGGAGCTGGACGGAGTCCGTTACAAACTCATCAAGGAACAGATGAAATTTGCAATAAATAAAAATACCCACAATCCCGCGGGGCAGGAGCAGCGTTTACAGGAACTGCAGCAGAAACTCAAACTGGTAAATAATCACCAGGAAACCGGAGTTAAGCTCACAGCTAAACCATCTGTCGGCTCGAAATCTAACGTGGTTTACAGCAAAATCTTCTAAGTGATGCCTTTTCAAGACTTTTCTTCATCATTTTGTATTTTAAGGAAACTGAAAGGAGCAAAAAGCTCAGGGAGGAGAACATTGCAGAACATCGTGAGAAGCAGGTGAGATACTAGAAAATTCACCTCAACTGAATCCAATTTGCTGCACGAAGGCCCTCAGAGACCCGAGTGGTAATATTTACACCAACATGCATTATTTTAATAAGCTTGTTAGCTAAGATCTAAAAGCTTTGTTCAACTTCAAATCAGCATGGTTTCAGTCTTCGCCCTGTTAGATGTTCATGCAGGCGGTGTCGGTTTGTGTTTAGCTGATGCAAAAGCAACAGCAAAAAAGCACAAACGTTTGAAAAAAGTAATCAAAATGAAGGACAATCTTCATTATTCTACGTTCTAAATGTGCATCTGACTTTTTAAAATGGTGCTAATCACATGTATTAAATCATTGTCATGTATTCGTGTGCGTTTGTGTGTTTTTCAGGAGCTGATGAGATTTCTGCAGCAGAACCAGCAGCTGCTGCTGAATCAGACTCGAGCAACGACGAGACTCGAACTGGAACTACGAACCCAAACGGAAGCCTTTCAGGTCAAACTCATTTTATTCTGCTTTAACAGACAAGTACATTTGCTCCTGGTTTTATTTTGAAAGGTTCGCTCATATTGTGTCACAAAAGCTCTTTAGTAATTTCTTGAGGAAAAAAGTCAGATATTATGTAGAAAAACTAAATTAAATTATTGAATACACTGGAGGGAAAACATTTGGTACTCGTCGTTATCGTCTTCCTCCGCTTATCCGGGTCCGGGTCGCGGGGGCAGCATCCCAACTAGGGAGCTCCAGACCGTCCTCTCCCCGGCCTTCTCCACCAGCTCCTCCGGAGGACCCCAAGGCGTTCCCGGACCAGATTGGAGATGTAACGTCTCCAACGTGTCCTGGGTCGACCCGGGGGCCTCCTGCCGGCAGGACATGCCCGAAACACCTCCCCAGGGAGGCGTCCAGGAGGCATCCTGACCAGATGCCCAAACCACCTCAACTGGCTCCTTTCGATCCGGAGGAGCAGCGGTTCTACTCCGAGTCCCTCCCGAATGTCCGAGCTCCTCACCCTATCTCTAAGGCTGAGCCCGGCCACCCTACGGAGGAAACTCATTTCGGCCGCTTGTATCCGCGATCTCGTTCTTTCGGTCATTACCCAAAGCTCATGACCATAGGTGAGGATTGGGACGTAGATCGACCGGTAAATCGAGAGCCTGGCTTTCTGGCTCAGCTCCCTCTTCACCACGACAGATCGGCTCAGCGTCCGCATCACTGCAGACGCCGAACCAATCCACCTGTCAATCTCCTCATCCCTCCTACCCTCACTCGTGAACAAGACCCCGAGATACTTAAACTCCTCCACTTGAGGTAGGACCTCTCCCCCGACCCGGAGTTGGCAAGCCACCCTTTTCCAGTCGAGAACCATGGTCTCAGATTTGGAGGTACTGATCCTCATCCCAGCCGCTTCACACTCGACCCGCGAACCTACCCAGCAAGAGCTGAAGGTCAGAGCTGGATGAAGCTAGGACCACATCATCCGCAAAAAGCAGAGACGAGATTCTCCTGGCACCAAACTCTACACACTCCACACCACTGCTGTGCCTAGAAATTCTGTCCATAAAGGTAATGAGCAGAACCGGTGACAAAGGGCAGCCCTGGCGGAGTCCAACCCTCACTGGGAACAGGTCCGACTTACTACCGGCTATGCGGACCAAACTCACGCTCCTCTGGTAAAGGGACTGAATGGCCCTTAACAGAAAGCCACCCACCCCATACTCCTGGAGCGTCCCCCACAGGGTGCCCCTGGGGACACGGTCATAAGCCTTCTCCAAATCCACAAAACACATGTGGATTGGTTGGGCAAACTCCCATGCCCCCTCCATCACCCTTACAAGGGTATAGAGCTGTTCCACAGTTCCACGGCCAGGACGAAAACCACATTGCTCCTCCTCAATCTGAGATTCAACTATCGATCGGAGCCTCCTCTCCAGTACCTTGGAGTAGACCTTTCCAGGGAGGTTGAGGAGTGTGATCCCCCTATAGTTGGAACACACCCTCAGGTCACCCTTCTTAAAGATGGGGACCACCACCCCGGTCTGCCACTCCACAGGAACTGCCCCCGATGACTACGCAATGTTGCAGAGACGTGTCAACCATGACAGCCCTACAACATCCTTAGCCTTGAGATACCCAGGACGAACCTCATCCGCCCCCGGGGCTCTGCCGCTGTGTAGTTGTTTGACTACCTCAGCAAATTCTGCCCCCGAGATTGGACAGTCCATCCCCAGGTCTCCCAGCTCTGGTTCCTCCTCGGAATGTGCATAGGTGGGATTGAGGAGCTCCTCAAAGTATTCCTTCCACCGTCTGACTATAGCCCCAGTTGACATCAGCAGCTCCCCATCCCCACTGTAAACAGTGTGAGCGAGTTGCTGCCTTCCTCTCCTGAGGCGCCGGACAGTTTGCCAGAACCTCTTTGGAGCCGATCGATAGTCTTTCTCCATGGTCTCACCAAACTCCTCCCACGCCCGAGATTTTGCCTCGGCAACTGCCACTGCTGCACCCCGCTTGGCTATCCAGTACCTGTCTGCTGCCTCCGGAGACCCACAGACCAGCCACGCCCTGTAGGCCTCCTTCTTCAGCCTGACGGCTCCCTGAACCTCTGGTGTCCACCAGTGGGTACGGGGGTTGCCACCACGACTGGCACCGGCCACCTTCTGACCACAGCTGGCAACAGCCGCCTCAACAATCGCAGAGTGGAACAAGGCCCACTCGGAGTCAATGTCCCCCACTGCTCTCGGGACGCGGTCGAAGCTCTGCCGGAGGTGGGAGTTGAAGACCGTCTTAACAGGTTCTTCTGCCAGGCGTTCCCAGCAGACCCTCACTATGCGTTTGGGTCTGCCAGGTCTACGTGGCATCTTCCCCTGCCATCTGATCCAACTCACCACCAGGTGGTGATCAGTTGACAATTCCGCTCCTCTCTTCACTCGGGTGTCCAAAACATATGGCCACAGGTCAGATGACACAACTACAAAGTCTATCTTCGACCGGCGACCTAGGCTGCCCTGGTACCAAGTGTACCGCTGGGCATCCTTATGTTCGAACATGGTGTTTGTTATGGCCAAACTGTGGCTTGCACAGAAGTCCAATAATGAAACACCACTTGAGTTCAGATCAGGCGAGCCGTTCCTCCCAATCACACCCCTCCAGGTCAAGCTGTCATTGCCCACGTGAGCATTGAAGTCCCCCAGCAGGACAATGGAGTCCCCTGATGGAGCACTATCTAGCACTCGTCCCAGGGACTCCAAAAAGGGTGGGTACTCTGAACTGATATTTGGCCCATAAGCACAAACAACAGTCAGGACCCGTTCCCCGACCCAAAGGCGCAGGGAAGCTACCCTCTCGTCCCCCGGGGTAAACCCCAACACACAGGCAGAGTCTTGGGGCTAACAAAAAGCCAACCCCAGCCCTCCGCCTCTCACCCAGAGCAACTCCAGCAAAGGAGAGTGTCCAACCCCTCTCAAGGACTTGGGTTCCAGAGCCAATGCTATGTGTCGAGGTGAGTCCAACTATATCTAGCCGGTACCGTTCAACCTCTGCCACAAGCTCCTGCTCCTTCCCCGCCAGCGAGGTGACGTTCCATGTCCCCAAAACCAGTTTTCTTGTCCGGGAATTGGACCGCCAAGGCTCCCGCCTTGGTCTGCCACCCGATCCACATTGCACCGGACCCTTCATGTTCCTCTTGTGGGTGGTGGGTCCACAGTTGGATGAGCCCATGTATCCGGTTCGGGCTGGGCCCGGCCGGGCCCCATGGGCGAAAGCCCGGCCACCAGGCACTCGCTTACGGGCCCCAACCCCAGGCCTGGCTCCAGGGTGGGACCCCGGTAACCCTCCGGGCTGGGTATTCCGACTCTTTGAATTGAAGTGCCCCAGACAACATAGCTCCTAGGATCATTAGGGCACTCAAACTCCTCCACCACGATAAGGTGACGGTTCAATTTGGTACTTAATTAGTAAAATTAATGCTTTTGTTTCCATTAAGTCAATGCTTTAGTGCCTAAATATTGTGTGTGAACTCCGTTACAGTTAGTAAAAATAAGATATTCACAGTAAATGTTTGTACTAAGATGGTAACTCAAAAAACCACTGCCAAATTTAGAAATTAAATAATAATAAATAATAGTAAATAATAAATAAAGTAATAATAAATGCCATATTTTCCGGAGTATAAGTCGCTCCAGAGTTTGTCGCACCAGCCATAAAATGTATAATGAAGAAGAAAAAAACATATATAAGTCGCATTTATGGGGAAATTTTATTATTTTTCTTACAAAATCTGAGATCAAGCATTTCACATTGCAAGACAAGTACCAGTAAAAAATAACAGAATAAACAACCAGGGCGCAGCAGCGCGCCACGGCCTCCAGCAGGTGATGGCGGGGCAGGGGAGCTCATTCCTGTTCCGAAGTGGCCCGCAGCAGCACGGTTTACATAATTTGGTATATAAGTTGCAGGACCAGCCCGACTATGAAAAAAAGTGTGACTTATAGTCCGGAAAATACGGTAAATCCAGTAGAGAATGAATAAAAGTCAGATATTTAAATTTGATGTTTAAAGGCAAATCTATACTATTTTAATAAGTCATGAATAATTACTACAACAAAGCCAGGTCACCATCAGCTTCCTCAGCTTTGTAGCTTCCTCAAACTTGCGTAGGCCACGCTGATGTTTACTGTGGTTTTAGTGCCTTGCTTCGCCTCCAAAGACATTACTCTCTTTACTTCCAGGCTTCGTCATCATGCCAACAGAAAAAGCAGTCTTCTTTTTTCTTTCTTCTTTATATGCTTTTTATTGATGATTGAAAATGCTAACCACTAGCATGACAGCTAACAGCTGTAAAGAAGGTAAAGAGCTCCCCCTATAGGACACCTATCCACTCGACAAAGCTATCATATGCAGTTTTTGGCTAGCAGAGGGCTGCAGAGTGGTGTCAAGTTTCTAACTCCGCATTCACTGAGATCAATGTTAAAGCTTAGCTTAAAGTTTAGAAAACTATCTAATGTTACTTTAAATGACCACAAATTTTCATTTAAGGTATACAATTTTTATTATTTTATAATTATTACATTATAATAATTATAAAGTTGTTATAGTTGCATTTTATTTCTCTATGGTAGGAGGACCCACTCGTAAACGAGATGTTTCATCTCAAGTGGTTGTATCCTCTTAAAATATAAGTTAATGCTGCTGTGGCCCCCAGACTCTGGACCTCTCTCCCCCTGAGCCTGAGATCAGTGGACTCAGTGGTCTCCTTTAAAAAGCAGCTTGTTCAGGCTGGTTTTGGTTTGACCTTCATCACTCTCTCTTTATTCTGCTCTCCCCTCCTATTCCACCTTCCTCAGGATCCACTTATCTCCCTCTCTCCTAGTCACTCTCTCTCTCTTTCTTTACATTTTTAATCACAATTGTCTATTTTTGGCTCATTTTAAATATAGTTTTAATCATTTTCCTAATTCCTTTTTATATTTTTAAACTTTTTGTTTTTGTGAAGTGCCTCGTGATTTTTATCTTGAGAGCCGCTATAGAAATTATATTTTCTTCTTTTTCTTAATAAATAAATAAATAAATTATTTTTTATTATGTAACATCAGAAGGATTCAGTATGAAAGTCCAGCTTTTTTATCTATTTTATACATGAAAGTGTTTTTAAATCTCCTTTTTAATCCACCGTGATTGAACGTTTGTGTATTTCATCTTATTAAATAATTATTTTTGTCCCACAGCCATGGAGGAAAATCAGAATATATTTTCATAATTATAAAAAATCTACAAAGACAGAAATAAACAGCAATCATTGTTCCATCTCATAAAATTTGCTGAACATGGTGTCGTTTATCACAACATGTACATTTGTTAATGTAGTCCCCTCCACAGCTGAGTGTTTTTCTCCGTTTATGGCCTTCCAGTTTATTGTTTTTTTTCTCCTCTCCACACCCCCTCTCATTTATATTACCCCCCCATTCATTAATTTATTAAAATCATTATTAAAATGACACAAGCAAACTGATTTGTATTAGCAAGAAGTCTTCTCTCTCCTGGCCGTGTTCAAGACCTTCTGTTCACGTTAAATAAACTCATAAAAATTGAGTATTGCATTAAAATCCTACGGGCAGTTAATTTTACGGCAGGCCCTTGAGCGAGAACACAAAGCCGTGCGAGAGAAGAGCGAGGCGATGGAGGACGAGGTGGGCCAGCTGACGCAGAGCTACGCAGCTTCCAGAAGCAGCTGGGACAAAGAGGTGGGATGAAACCCCGCGCTCGGAGGAGCCGTGTCGAGTTCCTCTCAGCAAAAAGTTCACTCGTTGTGATTTGTCTGAATCAACAGAAGAGAAAGATTCAGGATCAACTCAAGAGTGAGCAGCAAGACCTGCGAGAGATGAACGGAGCTTACGAAGATCTCCAGCAGAAACTCGCTGAGCTGTCTGGTCAGAGGAGATCTGAGGAGGTACACTAATCCACACGTACACAACAGAAGCTCAACAAATCGCTTCACACTTACTTTTTAAAACTCTCAAATCGTAAAAACACCGAAACGACATGGAAGTGGAGAGCTGCTGGTTAGTAAAGGCTAAATCTACCTTTGCTGCACTTTTAAATAATAAAACTGATCATAACTTTTTGCTCTCCTTGACGTTGGATGTGCTACTGCTAGTTTACCCGTTTAATTATAGATCCACTAGGATAAATACAATAAAGTGTGTCTCTCACCAAATAGAATATTTACTAAGAAATCACAATGTAACCATACTGCTCGGTGTGTGTGTGTGTGTGTGCGTGTGTGTGTGTGTGTGTGTCTGCTCTGTCTTCTCCATCCCCAGTGAGTCGTGGAGGATGGCTGCTTATACTGAGCCAGGATCCTCTGGAGGTTTCTTCCTGTTAAAAGGGAGTTTTCCTCTCCACTGTCGCTATATGCTTGCTTAGTATGAGGATTGCTGTAAAGTCACTGACCCTAGTCAGTGACTCGATGCAATTTGCTGGGTTCCTTATATAGGATTTTTTTTTTCTGATTGGCTTAATGAACTGACCTGAATTGGAATGTTTATTATGTGAAGTGCCTTGAGATGACTCTTGTCGTGATTTGGCGCTATATAAATAAACTTGAATTGAATTGAATTAAAATCAGCACACCGCGTTTGTTTTAAATACAAGAATAAAGGAGTTGCGACGCCTTGAGGATGAGTCGTCTTCTCGTTTTCTTCAGGGTTTTACTAAACAAGCTAATATGATGGCTAACTGTTAGCTTCCTGAAAAAATCAATCACAAATTTCTGTAATCTTCATCAACATATGAGGGGAAAATCATAAATGAGTGAAATCTACAGTAGGAAAATCAGGAATTTATACAAGTAATCATTTAGTGATGTTTGCAGTTTTTTGCCATGATGGAGTAAAACCATAGACTCTAAGCCCTGGTAACTAAAGTTTTATCAAAGGTTTGCCAGTTTTGTGTTTCCACCATCCAGTTCCCCTCGATTGTGGAGGACCTTCGAGGCAAGGACATTCTGGAAGATCCCATCTCCAGCTCTGAGTTGCCTGCTTTTGACTCTCCAGGCGATCTGAGAGACTTAGGAGCCGCCAGCAGTGCAAATGGAGGTCAGTCAGCTGAATGGAAATGCACCGTAGATAATCATATTTACTGCTCCTAATTAAAACGTTCATAATTTACTCAGAATTTGTGACAAAATTTCTTTCTGTTGCTTCTGAAGCTCATTGTTTAATGCTTTTCCTCTTCGACGTTCAATAACAGACCAAAAACTACTATTACGGCTTTTCTGAGTCTGCTTTCTTATTTTATTTAAGATCAAGGCGAGCTAAGTCATCAGCCACAACAGCAACACATCTTAGAAGATCCAAACACACTGAAGCGCGAATGCCCTGAGTCTTTCAGCCTCTCTAATAACTCCGGAGGAGCCACCAAGATGGAAATATTCTCTGCATCCGGAGTGCTAACTGTGACCGATGAGGATCACCAGAACCACGAGTGTGGGTCTCTGGAAGGATCTGCTCATTTACCGACAAAAGGCACAGATGAAAGGAAAAGAAGAACGACAGAGAAGCAGAAGAACAGAAAGCAAGAGGAAGATGTTACAAAGCAGAAGAGCAAAGATGGATGTGGAGAAAAAGAGGTGAAGGATGTAAGAAATGCTGAAGAAATGCGTACTACCGATGCACAAACAGATGGAACCGACATGTCCGAGGGTGCCGAGGGGTCATCAAACGCAGCAGGGGAGACCAGTGCCCCTGAAACAGAAATAAGAGATAAAGGAGAGCGAGAATTGACAGATGGAGTGAAAGAGGGAGGACAGACAGCAGAAAGTCCAGAAACACAGATACAGGCTCTCAAAACCACTGATAGGACTCAGAAGAGCCTCTCTCTGCAGGTCAATGACTTCATGGACACCGAGCCGCCTCCGGCTGTTTGTGAGTTTTCAAACTTCTCAAAAAATCTGCCGCAGATAATCACCGACAAGCATGCAGACTGTAACCGTCCAGGCAGGGAGCGCACAGTCGATGGAAAAGTCAACGGATTTGGTTTGGATGAACACCAAAGTGTCAGCAGCGTGCCAGAACCTGATGCTGAAGCTGCACACCCTGACTCACCTGTCGAGGTTCAAACTGTGCATCAGGACCCCGAGCGATCAGACCTGGAACACGAGAAAACATCCACGGAAATGTCCGGTTATTTTCCCGCTGAAGGGCCAAGCCCATGCACCTCTCAAACTCCGCAAAGCCACAACATCCAAGAGAGCCAAACGAACCCAACTCAGACTGAACATTGTGATCCTCGTGCTGTTGTCGCCGTGGAGACAACAAAGGAAATGTTTGGCGCGGATGAGGAGAGCGTTTCAGTGACAAACATGGCCGAAGCTCAAAGTCTCGAAGCCTCAGAGAAGCAGGAACGCGTGCAGCTCAGGTCTGTGGTGGATGAAGATGGAAGGAGTGAAAGCAGCACCTGTGAGTCTGCAGAGAGAGCTGCAGCAAAGGAGGACGTGGAGGAGCAAAGCAAAACTGATCAAGGCTCAGGAGGTGGAGAGGGGACCAAAAATGATGCTGATCCAAAGATTTCCCATCAGCAAAGTGGTGAAACCGCTGAATCATCAGAACCTGGAAGATCGAAGAATCAACCCCTAAAGCAGAAGAGACCTACCGATTCTGCTGAGTTGTCGCAGATCTCCAGGTCACTGTTTGACTGGACCGCTCAGAGGAAAACGTTCAGTGACTTCTCCGTCCTGCACGAGTTTACTCAGGTAAACCCGATTCAAGTCATCGTTCAGATTCACCGTCTTTCTAACATCCAAACTTAACCAATCACAGATTCAGCTTTATAATCATTTCTGTGCTTCTTGGATGCGAAAGATGTAAAATGGGCTCTTAACCAACTGGAAAACAATTAATAAAAATGTGCATTTTGCACTTTTGGCTGATTAAACTCAGCAAGGGGGAATTCTGAGATTTTTAACATTTTTGTTTTTTTCCTGAACTCACTCTGTGAGTTTCATTGAAACCTCAGAGGAAACAAATCTGAATAAACACGATCCCATAAAAACAAAATCATTTTAACACATTTAGTGAATATGAAACTAGGTGCTAAGAGTTGCTCACCTGGAAAGCACATCGAATTGCTTCTGTGTACAAAATATGTTTTATAAATAAAGCTGCCTTGTCTTCTTTTTTTCACGCATTCACTTATTTTTCAGGGAACTCGTCTGTCTGGACGTCCGCTCGATTCAGCCCCCGTGTTCTCCAAAACCAAACACGACAAAGGTGGTGGTTATCAACGTTATGAAGTTTTGCACATAGATGATTCTTAACGTACGTCGTCATTTTCAGCTCAGCAAATGATCACCCAGGCGTCGGACCTGTTCAGCACCTTCGGTGTCTCCGTGGCTGCAAGTCTCTCAAAGAGTCAACGGCGGGGAAGAGGAGTGATGGAAGAGACCTGCAGAGAAACGGCAGAGAAGGTCAGTGCTTCTGAAGGGTAAAAGCTGCACAGACACACGTGCCGTGGTGTCTTTATTATAAAAAAACAACCCTGAGTTACTACAGCTGAGATTAGAGAGTAAGCAGCAGCCTTGTGCTGCTAACTGATCACCAGTAAGTCTGAGCTCCCAACTGTGCTGGTCTGGAGCATACAGGTGTGTGTAAACTCAGTCAGAAGGTGGGAACTGCTCATCCATTAGGAAGAAAGGTCATTTTCGAAAAAATCTGGACTTAATTCCAACAGCAAGTCTGGATGTCCCAGCAAATTCCAGGTCTAAACCTCCAGGTCAGAGGTCACTGTTCAGGGAAAGGACCGAAAACACCTCAAAAAGTCCATCTGACGCCGGGCCGCTGAAGCGCCGCGAAATTGGGGCCGCCTTCATTCGGCGCCCTTGTTATCCTACTCTATAGACCACATGGGCCGCCGAAGCGCCGTGCGTCGGCACGCGCCAGCGCTCCAGCCCGCGCTCCATCCCGCGCCGTGCAGCGATCGTTTCGGCGTCGGCTCTATTTTTTCCGCGAGCCGCGGGTGAACCGTGTCGATTCTGTCAGGAAGTCAAACCTAGACATAAGAGGCAGGCCGGTAAATTTAACAAAATAAAGCATTTCTAAATACGATTCTTCGATAGTCCAATGTGTTCATAAACAGACGCTGCACACACACACACACACACACACACACACACACACACACACACACACACACAGCGAACTTGTGTGTGTGTGACCACGTGAAGGGGGTGTGGTTTTGGGTGTCTTGCAACCGGAGCAAACAGGACAGAGAGGCAGAAAGTCGTAGGCCAGCTATTAACAACTGGTACACACCAGAGGTTCACACACACACACACACACACACACACACACACACACACACACATGTACAAACACAAACAGCAAGGGGGGGGGGGGGTCGAGGAAAAGAGCAGAGAAAAGGCTGAGAGGAAATGGACGACACCAAGTGGTTAAAAGAAAAACTACGAGGCGCGCCTCGACCGGAGCGAAGAAACAAGCGTCTGGTTTGAACTGAGGAGCAGCGGCCGAATTTCGTGAGCACTTCGCCTCCCGGCGCTTCAGCGGCCGGTGTATCCCCGGCGTTAGAGTTTGCTGGACTCAGTTAGCAGGGGTAAGGTTAAAGTTCATGACAGCATGGTATGGTTGCACTACTGGAGGCCAGTTCTTAAAGCTTTAGGTCATTCTTTTTGTGTTGTTCCTCTAAACGGGAATAAAATGAAATGTGAAGTTAGGATGATTTTTAAAAGTTTCCTTCACTTGTTTTTTCACCAACTCTGCTGGTGGTCTCTAGCTTGAGTGAATGCCTTGTGAGTCGTTTCCTTTGGAAAAAAGCTCGGGCCCACCTGTTTCATTTTTTGGAGGAGTGGGAGGGTTAACAGGATTATGAGTCTTACTCATTAATATTCATGATACGCAACATCTAGCCTCTGATTGGCTAACAGCAACAAGACTCTTCCACTGCCTTCATTCGCAACGATGATGTTTTATCTCAATAAAGAACACGTGCTTCAGCGTGTTGCGCCATGTTGTGGAGTTGCAAATGCTAACGGTTAGCTTCTGCTAGCTGAGACGCTCTGCTCCCTCCATCCCGTAGAAGGGGCCATGAGTATTCCTTTTCCCAGTGACGTAGAAGAGGCTGGCCTTTTCTTACCCAATAGTTTTCCCGTCTGTTTCCCTTTTGCGGCTGATGGAGGCGAGGGGGTTTGAAGAAAACGTTCACGTTCAGCGTGCGTGTGAAACAATCTCATTTCAGAAAGAACGTGTTTTACAGTTTCTCAGGGAAACATATTTTTAAGAATGTTTTTTCTTTTTTGCAAAGCCCAAACAAACATGTTAAACAGAATTCTCAGTCGTTAGTTGATAGCTAGGCTTAAAACATTTTTGATAGGGCCTATGGTTAAAATCTGATGTTAGCCCAGATCTGGACAAGAGGGGGAGTAGAGGGAGGTGGAGTGTACAGTCGGTAAAGACGGCTCTCCTTTGCCCTGCCTCCAACATGCCTCCATCTAAAAGGCTAGGTTATCCAGAGTTATCTCTGTAGTTATGCTGCTATAGGCTTAGACTGCTGGAGGATACACTGACCACTTTTCACACTCGACTACTTTCTTCTACAGTCTGCTCTTTAACTGTATTATTTCCTGTTATTTCAGCTGTTAACTTTATTTTCTCTCTAAGTGTTTTCTCCCCAGAAGAAGCTACAACGATGTTCTGCTGAGCTGTGGTGGCCTCATGGAGGGGGCCGTCGTCTAGCACACTGCTGCTAACCACTTAAACATTCTCCCTCTCCTGATAATAACTTTTTGCTTTCCTTGATGTTGGATGTGCTACTACTAGTTTACTCGTTTAATTATAGATCCACCAGGATAAATACAATAAAGTTTATCTTTCACCAAATAGAATTTACTAAGAAATCACGGTGTAACCATTGACACACTGCTGTGCGTGTGTGTGTGTGTGTGTGTGTGTGTGTGTGTGTCTGCTCTGTCTTCTCCATCCCCAGTGAGTCGTGGAGGATGGCTGCTTATACTGAGCCAGGATCCTCTGGAGGTTTCTTCCTGTTAAAAGGGAGTTTTCCTCTCCACTGTCGCTGCATGCTTGCTTAGTATGAGGATTGCTGTAAAGACACTAACCCCGGCTTTCCACTGGAGCCGTCAGCAGCGCGAGTCGGCCGCGTCTCAGGAGCAGCATGTCGCGGCCTTTACGCGCCGGTTCTATTTTCTACGCGCGACGCCTCTGAAACGGGTCAAGTTCGACATTTTTGGGGAAGGAAAGACAGGAAATCGGACGCGGAAATGGAGAGAAGCTCCCGAGATTTTCAGAATAAAGAACGTACTGCCTTCCGGTTGCTTTACTTTAAAAAAAGGTTACTAACTGTGCGTCCCCGTGAGAAGTTATCACCTAGCTAGCGGTCTCCTTTGTTTTTCAGGTCCGTATTGGCGATTATAAAACGGACAGAACATAAAACACAAACCTTGTTGTAGTTTTCTCCTGCTTGTTGTTGTGTTTACTGACGAAGTCACTCGTGTGACTTCGTGCTCGGTCGGTGAAAGCTGCTCCCCTGCTGCTTCGCGTCTCTGGTGGGAAGGGCCAAGCAGCAGCTTACGCGAGCAAGACGTGCTGCTGCAGTAACGTGCTGCTGACGGCTCCCGTGGAAACCCGGGTAACACTAGTCAGTGACTTGATGCAATTTGCTGGGTTCCTTATATAGGAAACATTATTTCTGATTGGCTTAATGAACTGACCTGGATTGGAATGTTTATTATGTGAAGTGCCTTGAGACGACTCTTGTCGTGATTTGGCGCTATATAAATAAACTTGAATTGAATTTGTTTTGAACGTTCTCTTTGTCTGAGGCCTACTAGGTCCTGTGTTGAGTGAAAAAGCATAGCTGATCCCCGTTGAGCTCATAGTTGTCCTGTAACAGTCAGACAGGCAGAGAACGAATGATCTGTGGTTGAAAATCCACCTAATGATGCTCGGGTACCGCTCCTCTCCCACTTACTCCATCTCTATCTGTCCCACTCTCTCCTCTCACTTCATCATTTGTCTCTCCACCCTTTTCTACCATTTTCACTCTCATTTTCTTTTGTCACTTTGCTGTCATTCCACGTTTTACACGATCCAGGTGCTGGCAGTTGAGGGAGAAAAGCCCTGATCCGATAGTTGAACTAACGGCGGTGACGGCCGAAGCGTTTCATTCTGTCTGCGGAGCGGAAACGCTGGGAGCGTCACGCAGAGTTCAGTCTGAGCCAGTCTGGATCCTGTTACGTATCATTTGCCCCTGCGCTCGGCCCGAGCTCCATCTGTTTATCACAGTTACATTTCCTCAAGAGGCACAGAAAAATCCCCAAACCTTCAGCTGGTTTTCCACTACCAGCAGGCAGAACGCTGAGACGGCAGAATCAGAGTTTTACTGTCTTTTGTTGTTGTCATCCTCAGGACAGAACATCTTCAGTGCTTTCCATCTCCAGTTCTGCCAGTCAAGCCTCGCAGCAACCCAGTTCAGCGTGAGTTCAGAGACACACACGATGCTGAGATGTCATTTCAGCTGACGTTCAAAGACTCTAACATTACACCAGATTAGGTTTTAAATCGTTTAAAATTCATTATCGCCTGTAGAGCCACTGAGCTTTTAAAAATACATGACATCATTTCCTGTAGTTAGATTTTTGGACATTCAACATGGCCGCCCTTTTAGCTATGCTGTTGCATCATATATAAATGTATAACTAGTTTTTTCTTTTCTAAATCTGATGTAGCAGGACTTCCTGCTCACCTGTTGCTCCTGGGTCAGAGTTGGACCAGGAACCTTCCTGTTCCCTGGAGAGGGATGACCAGCAGTCATCACTGAGAGCACAGATTTCCAAAATCGAAGCGTTCCTCAACACAGAGAGGCTCCGACTGCCTAAAAGACGTCGGATTGAGTCGCCAGACGTATCCGGTTCTGTTCTATGAAATGACACAAGAGCCTACTGTTCCACAAGTTTGATCATTTTCATTACATTTAAACCCTCCAAAAGTTTCCCTTTTGTTATAAAAAAGATCTCATGATGACTGTGAGCTCTTCAGGTTTCTCTTCAGACTTCAGTTTGAGTCAGACTGACCCTTGGTTTAGAGTTCCTGTCCATTTTGCAGCCTTACAAATCAAATATGAGCTGTTGGGTGTGGGTGTGTGTGTGTGTGTGTGTGTGTGTGTGCGTGCGTGTGTGTGTGTGTGTGTATTTGTACTTGGGAAAAAGCTAAATTGATTGATTTGGATGTTTACACTTATGTGCTTTTAGAAATGTTTGGAGTTGTTTTAAAGTTTATTCATTGTTACAGAAATAAAATCTTAACCTCAGGCTTCCCTTTGGGTTTGGTAAAGTGTTAAATCATATTTTTAAAATAGAACTGTTGTATCGGGTATTCGAAAAAGGGCAGACTGCCTTCTCCGGGTCAGGGATGAGGTCCTGCCCCAAGTGGAGGAGTTTAAGTATCTCGGGGTCTTGTTCACGAGTGAGGGAAAGCTGGAGCGTGAGATCGATAGGTGGATTGGTGCTGCGTCTGCAGTGATGCGGGCGTTGTACCGGTCTGTCGTGGTGAAGAGAGAGCTGAGTCAGAAGGCAGTTGGTTTACGTTCCTACCCTCACCAATAGATCTCCTCTGCTGTTTTGGGACATCACAACAAGGCAGCATCACGGTGACCTCAGACACCAACGTCTCTGCGTTAAAATCAGATTTTAAACAAGCTAATGGGATTAATTATGTTCAGTAGACCGTTCGAGTGCTAAAACCCGTCCAACATGAGGAAAAACCTAAAGGAAGCACAAAACAAAAGCTCTTCTGACCATTGCTTACAATAAATAACACACGATGATGATTAAAATAATAGAAAATCCGTGGAAACCAGTTAACAAATAAACTAAAACAGCGACTCTGAGCTGGATAATATTTCCACCTATTTGCTAAGCCACACAAAACCTCTTTGCAGACTGATCTGATGCAACATGTAAACATCGCACTGACTTGTCTCAGGAGGAAAAGGGTGGAATGCCTTCTCCGGGTCAGGGATGAGGTCCTGCCCCAAGTGGAGGAGTTTAAGTATCTCGGGGTCTTGTTCACGAGTGAGGGAAAACTGGAGCTTGAGATCGATAGGCGGATTGGTGCTGCATCTGCAGTGATGTGGGCGTTGTACCGGTCTGTCGTCGTGAAGAGAGAGCTGAGTCAGAAGGCGAAGCTCTCGATTTACCGGTCGATCTACGTTCTTACTAGTGATGTGTCGGTCGCGAACGAACCGGCTCTAAGAGCCGGCTCTTTGAAGTGAACGACGGGAGCCGGCTCGTCATTGGGAGCCCCAGCCCCCCCCCCCCCCCCCCCCCCCCCCCCCCCGCCTTGGTGAACGCCACAGGTTATTGGTCAACATGCGTAACTGTGTGTCCAGACTGTCTACACAGAGCCGTAGGAACGGGGAAGAGGGAGGATCAGACTCAGACAGACACACAGCAGAGCACATGTGGGAGGAGGGAGACAAGAGGGAATGAGGAGGAGGAAACAGGCGAGCGAGAGGGAGGAGACTTCGATGAAGACGGTGAGAAAATGAGCACCAGCAGTCGGAAAGTGGAGATTTCTTAAAGTGTTCAGTTATTAAATCCATAGAAATGATAAACATTTGATATATTGCTTTTTTTACATTAGTAAATTATCTTACATATAGTTTAGCATTATTTTGGTTATAAATGTGCTCTACGCAACAGAAAATCTTAGGAGCCACTTGGGAGCCGAAAGAGCCGGCTCTTTTTGGTGAGCTGAGCCAAAAGAACCGGCTCTCTAAAAAGAGCCGGAATTCCCATCACTAGTTCCTACCCTCACCTATGGTCACGAGCTTTGGGTAGTGACCGAAAGAACGAGATCGCGGATACAAGCGGCCGAAATGAGTTTTCTCCGCAGGGTGGCCAGGCTCTCCCTTAGAGATAGGGTAATAAGCTCGGTATTTCGGGAGGGGCTCCGAGTAGACCCGCTGCTCCTCCACATCGAAAGGAGCCAGTTGAGGTGGCTCGAGCATCTGGTCAGGATGCCTCCTGGACGCCTCCCTGGTGAGGTTTTCTGGGCACGTCCAACCGGTAGAAGGCCTAAAGGTAGACCCAGGACACGGTGGGGGGACTATGTCTCTCGTCTGGTCAGGGAACGCCTTGGGATTCCTTGGAGGAGCTGGCCCAAGTGGCTGGGGAAAGGGAAGTCTGGACTACTCTGCTTAGGCTGCTGCCCCCGCAACCCGACCCCGGATAAGCGGCCGAAAATGGATGGATGGATGGCACTGTTGCATCATTAGCAGTGGTTTTAGGTGCAACTCGTTGATCACCTTTACTCTTAAGAATTTTTCAAATTTAAACATCATTTCTGAATCAATCTTTTCATTGAGTTTTAATTTTTAAACAAAACAGAATTTTGTTGTTGTTTTTTAGTAAGAGTGTGCCATTTACGACATCATTAATGTCTGTTCAAACAGCCAAATCATTGCAGAACAAGAGCATTTTGGGAAGATTTTTTTCCATAACGGGAAGCAATTAACATGCTAATTAACATAGTAATTAACATTAACGTGGCCGTCTGGGATGGGTGTCTCAGAGGAGCGCTAATTGTGAATCCACCTTTGGTCTACACCAGTGCTGTTGTTGTTGTTAGGAGCAGTTATGAGTTTGAACACAACTGGTAACATCTGTTACTGCTAATTAGGAGAAATAACAATCAAGGTGTCCATTAGCACTTACTACCTCAACCCTATTCAACAGAAATCAATTAGCAGATGTACAGACCAATTAACACTCAGTAACGAGCATCTCGTTAACTTTATGATCCCTCTGTGTGAAACGAAGAGCGTGAAGTGGTTTCTCGTTCTAGCTGGATTCCCCGTCTCATCTCTGCATCTGAATAATGTCAGGGAACTTTCTTTCTAGTCATTTTTCATTTAGATTCATCTTTTCTTGTTAGGGTTTAAAGCGAAGATCCTCTTTTGTTGACAAACAATGCAGCTATACAGTGGCCCTGAAGCTTCAATGAAACACGTACGCTGCAACATAACTAAAACCCATAACAGAAACCAAAGGTAAAAAAATAAATACAAAAATGAAATCCCATGAATTAGAATGATGCCAAAATGGAGGGGATAATACCTTAATTATGCCAAAAACGCACATAAACAAGAGACAACAGAGATCAAAGCTGTTGGGCTTTACAGTGGTGTCCAGAACGTTGTCGTCGTTATCTCTTTATCGGTTTTGCTGTTGTGGCTTTGGTACTTCATTGAACCTTCCAGGCCACCGTACATTTAAAACCATTTTGGGGACATCTTGAAAATGTTTCTTTGTTTGATATTGACACTCATAATCTGCACAAGAAATTGCAGCTCTAAGTCTGTAGGCCTGTGGCAGCCATCTTGAATTGACTCAAATTTTTTATGTTTTATTTTTTTGTAGTGAAACCTCTTTTTTTTGACTCTCAAAATGTAACGGTTGCAGTTTTATCTGTAATGATTTAATTAAAAACTTATAAGATAGGGCCAAGAGGTCGAAGTCAAGCTGCTGCTTCTACGCTGGTCAGGCTTCCTGCCAGGGGAGGCATGTCCTGCCCGCTGGAGCCCCCCAGGTCGACCCAGGACACACTGGAGGGACTAGGACTACGTGTCCACGTCATGGAGTCCACTGGAAGTGGTGGAGGTTGCTGGGAACCCGTACCCTTGCCCCATGCCCTGGGTAAGAAGTTGGCAAGAATGAAGTAAATCTAGACTTTTTATGTTTAAATACAATCCAGAAACAAGTCTATGCAAGAACTCGACCCCCCACCCCTCACACACATCTATTCTTTGGAAACTGTTTATAGCCACTGTTGTGTTAATCTCAAACAGATAGTTTTCTATAGAAATGACTAAAATAGACTGAAGTATCAAGTAGCACAAAAATAGACTTGGGCACATAAGTTTGTCAGGAAAATAGTTTCACAACTGATTAAAGCAATAAAAATGAGATAAATGTCAGTTACCTTAATTATTTCTTAGAAGACCAAAGATTTTCTTCATACTTGCAATTTTTTTTCTCCTCATTAAACAAATTAAAGAACTTTCTGGTTGAATTATTGAAGTTAGGTCGTTTTCTAGGATCTCCAAATTTGACCCTGTTTACAAAGAAAACACCTTTCCATGAATACCCCCCCACCCACCCCTATACACACACACACACACACACACACACACCCCACACACACTTTTAATTGTGACCATTTTAATGGTGGCACAAGCTTGGTCCGTCTCGCAGCACTTACTGACAATGAATATTCCTGAATCTTAATGCCCTCATAAAGAAATCTGGTGGCTTTGACAGGTGAGACAATCGCTGCTGACCCGTATGCTTTCTGCGGTGGGGGGCAAACGGGGGAGGTGCAGACTATAAAGGACTTGGTTTTAGTACACTCTCAGACGTATTTCCCTCGGTTTCGGTTTCTTCACTCGTTTCATTGCTCGGACGCGTGCACACCTCGGTTGTGAAGGCGCTCTGAAACGGTCAATTACCCTGTGGCTTGGGAGGATACCTGCTGTTAATTACTGCTCATGGTTTTATATGGACAGTAAATAAAGAGACTGCTGACATTCACATTCCATCAATGCGTCCCACAGCACATAGCCTGCTGTTTAATCCAAAGTGAAAACTAACCCTGAAGAGGAGGGAAAACACTTTAAGACTGGACGTCCAACAAGCCCAACGACAGGAGTCGTTTTTTCTTCCCAGGCTAAAAACTAATTATCACCAAAAAAAAAAGTTACTCAGTTTTGTGGAAATAAAATTCAAAAATATGACCGGGGTTATATGGCTGACTGGTTGTTGGCTGCTCTAATAAGCCCAGTCAACCTTGTCAACGTATCACTGCAGTTATCTGTTCATAACTGGGATGTCGGTTTGTCAGCCTCGACGGCTAAATGCGTCAGAAAATGAATTTTTTTTAGCGTTCGGGATATTAATCAAAGGCAGAGTGCATGCCAACCTGTCATGAGCCCACAACCTACATCCCGCTCACTGAGAAACCATGCTTGTTCTTTCTGAAGTATCTCTTGAGTTGCTCATGCACGCTACACGTAAAGATTTTGTTCAACCCTCATCGCCTACATTTAGCTGCAGAAAAGAAACGATCGGGTCAGGAAAAGCCTGTCTTTTCCTTTTCAAAGGAAAAATTAGCATTCATGGCCCTGCCCACCTTGGAGTGGGGTCACCCACGGGAAGGAGAGAGCAGAGGGAGCCTCGGCTAGTAGAAGCATTCAGCGGAAAGTACTAATCCTAATACTCCTTCTCTATGCTTTTCCAACTTGTTTAC